TCAAAGTAAGATTTAAATAAAAAACTGAAAACAATGGACGCTCGTGCAATGTTACATCGGTCGGTCGGATGGGACACAAATAACAGGCAGTAACTATTACAAATATCGGTTACAAGGAAGCCTTAATTAAAATCATTTTTATCGATTTAGCAACAACGACTCCGACAATAAAAATCTTGGTTGTGCTTCTCTTCCCGATTAAAAACTATGTTTTAAAGAGAAAATTTCATTTTATTTTTCTACTTTGATTTTAACTTAATATTATATGAATAATATAACCCATCGCTTACCTACCCAATGTGTTTATATGTCTAGTGCAATAACGTTGATTGATGAATGAATTAATTTATTTTGAATAGTTTAAAACACATATAGTCACACCATGTCATCACAGTTAGAAGTACTAACGTTATTTTTGCAATACTAGATATTTTCTGTTTTCCATCACCTAGACCCATCTGTCAAAAAGATCAAGCTATGTTGTACAGGATATTATCTATATTGTACAAAAAACATTGCGAATTCAATTTCTAATTGTAACTGATAAAAATTGTTATATTAGCTATCGAATCTAACTAAATGGATTATAAGAAAAATCACATAATATATAATATACATTTATGTGAGTCCCTTCGCACTCTGGGATAACCGGGAATGAGGAAGCAGACATTGCTATTAGAGATGTATCCTCATCAACATGTTCAGATCACTCCTCAATCCTGGAAATACCATTTACAGACATATTTGACTTGTTAAGCAAGAACTTGAGATCCTTATGGTAGTCATACTGGGAAGAAATAAGCAAGTCCAAAGGAATTTCATATTATGAAATACAAAAAAGCCCGCCAAACACTCCTTGGTACAACACAAAAAAAGGATTAATAAAATAGAAAATTCATTATGGCTGTAAACCGAATGAGATTTGGGCATAGTAGAGTAGCCCACCTGCATCGTTTGGGAATGAAAGAAAATGCAAATTGTGAATATTGTGGTGTCACGAAAGGAGACCTAAAACATCTGGTTTTTCAATGTTGTCAATTAGGTTTGAATAGATTACTCCTCATTAATTCCATTCAAGATATTAACAATGATAAAGTTCCCGATAATCTTCAAAGTTTATTAGCTGATGAAAAATTCTTCCGACCATTATATTCCTTTATTACTGGAGTTCAAAATATATAAAAATGAAAACAACTTGATATTAATCAATAGTGCAAACCATAGACTTAGGATATACTGGCGTATAGACGACTTGACAGCCCGAAAACGCGTGACCAATTTTGATTTGTTATTGTGTGCGTTCGCTAGTGATGCACATTTTACGGTGTCGAAAAATTTTTGTTCAGAAACCGGTTTAAAGACTAAAAAAATAGTTTAGTGCACATTACTGAATAACTTTTGTGCACTAAATAATTTTATTAAAAATTAACTAAATTTTTACCATGATAGTTTTAAAATAACTAAAAATGTTCAAATAACATGTTACCGGGAATAAGCTGCACCCACCTGCCTTTTCCATCATTCATAATCCATTACATTTTATAAAAATATATAGATTGCCCCGTAGGGGGGATATTTGCCGTCGCTTGGCCAGCGGGTTGTCAACCACAGTTTTTTTATTATTTCGAGTTGTTATCAGGAAGATGCTGCTGCCCATCGCCTCTTTCAGTTTCCCTTTGTCACTTTCTATGACACACATGTGACGATATTGGGAAGTGGAAATTCTTTCACCGGCACCACTTGCCTTTTGTTGGATTTTAATTCAAAATGTACAAAACTGCAATAATATTTGAAGAGGCGAGGTAAGTCTACCGATAAAATGAAACAATTTTCTCCAATAATCGGATTGGAAAGTTATATTTTTGACCTTGGAGAAAAATATTTAATATCATTTACAATTACCCGGAATTTATTTCTTTTTCAACATAATGTTAATCAAATATAAATAGGTAGATACTTAATTAAGTATCTACCTATTTATATTTTATAAAACGTTTTGCTGGTAAAATAAAAAACGAGGACACGGAATATATAATGGCTGCTTTATTTTTTATATAATTATTACCTTTAATATTTATTATTTATAAAACAGAATCGGAAACAGAAACAAGAAAACAAAATCATTTAATCTATACTAATATAATAAAGCGGAAGAGTTATTTTGTTTATTTTTTTTGTTTGTTTATAAACGCTAATCTCTGGACCTAACAGTTCAAATTTAAAATTTTTGTATATAATAGCCAGATTCATGAGGAATAGTATAGGCTATCTAGCATATAACTATCAGCTAACCTTATATATTAATTTTTGTTAAGCAAGTCGGAAGAAAAGACGCTCTCTAACTGCTTTATCCACGTGCGCTAGCGTAACATTTAGTATTACATAAATACAATTTTCTACAAAAATATTGGTCTTTGCTCCATCTAAAAAAAGTCTGCGATACCATATGCCTGTGGCTACGATGTCGTCGCGCCACAAGCGAAACATATCGAAGCCTAACTAACAAAGTTCCGAAGTTAAAGCAGCATATATAATAATGAACACTCTGCTCGGAGCGCGAACGACCGCATAAAACCTAGCCGCCCGATTAAATTCGAGAGAAACCAGCAGTGAACGCCTAGATTGGTCCAAGAGCTCATGACGCATTTTTTAAGAAGTGTTTGATGCATCGTGAAACTTTGCCCATAATGCTTCTGGCCTACCCATTCAGTGCATTCACGTATACTCATTTCATCAAAAGTGAGACATAGTTTTAGATCAGCTCCTTTTTTCTCATTTCTCCAATGGTGTTTAAAGATTCTTGAGTGAAACCAGGTTCACAGTGTAGTCTGGCATACCAGGTACGCAATGTTTTAATGTGTGGAAGACACAAATCAAATTTTTCGCGTAAATAATTATATGCTCTTTTACGATAAAAATGTATTGTGACAGCAAATTTTCGTAATTCTTTGTTATATTTGGATGCAGACACTATTTTACCACGTTTTTTATCATTAACCCTGTTAATTAAATTCTGTATCAAGTCATTGCTACATGTTTTTTTTTAGCCTGTTTTTTAGTTTTTGCTGCTAAGCTACGTATTTTCTTTTGTTTTTTTTCAGATTTTGATTTAATTTCTCGATTTTCCATAAAAGTTTTTTTTCTTGGTGTAAATTGAACACTTCTTTCTTGTGATTTCAAAGGCGGAGGGGTTATGTCACGAGTGACATATGATGAGGCTACTCTTTATTTCATCTGTCCCTGAAAAATATAATGTAATAATAAATTTATTATCATTATAGCTGCATGAATTTAAAAAATATAATGATCTTAACATATACAACTCAAATACGCTGGAGATATTAAAGTGCACCAAGTGTCCGAGGATACAGATGCACTCTTCTATTCTCTCAGTCGCAGTATGTTAAGAAAACGGTCACAAACACATGGACCGACCGCAGCAAGTGCACCTTTATCTTGCAGATCTATTGATCTACGCAACTGTTACTTAACTACGAGTTCCTCTTCTCTATGAGTAACGCAGTAGGTAATGAACCACACTATCAAGCCATCGGCACACTATCATCGAGCATCAAGCATGAATCAGACATCAAGCGTTGCGCGTATCAAATACTATGGAATTTATACTATCCTGGTACATTAAATCACGCGCCTCATGGCATCTAGTGGCGCTTCAGGAGCATTACTCAATAACCACACCTAACTACGCTAAAAGTTTTATTATTGTGACTTAGGAATATATTCCAAAGCTCTGCACAACCCCTAGGGGAAAATATACAATAATAGAGATAGAGTTTTATGATGTATAAAAATCTATCTCTATTTTTACCTAATGTTTTTGATGTTAATTTTTTATACCAGCGTAAAATAGCAGTTTAACACTGCAGTGTTTCGTATGGTAAGTGTAGAGAACCGGGGACTCATTTTACTGGAAAAGAGGCATTCCATCTTAGTCCTCACGGGTTATAACGTATCTGCATTTTGATTCGCAAACAAGGATAGATGTAGATGTCTATGGGCCACAGCAACGACTTACCATCAGGTGGACTGTGTGCTTGTTTGTCACCCCATCCTATAAAAAAAAGAAGTCTTATTGTAACAATAATATACTTACTGGTACAAATAATGTAGGAATGGCTCCTTTATACACATTAAAGATAAATATCGACATTAATTTTGATATAGTTGCGTAAATGTAAAATATTTTGTTTAAAAATGAATTCACCAAAATCATACAAATTATCAACAATGTGACTTTTTTCTTTGCAAAATATCAAAATTAATAAAATAATTGAAAATATTACATATTTTAAACAGTACATAACCTAAATTTTAAGCAAAAATAGACGTGTCTTATTATTGACGACGTCTTGCGAATTTACCTGTGAAATGTGCAACCATCAGGATTACTTCTATTGTTGATACCACAGTCACTTACGGAACATGAAACCATTTTGGAAAACTATAAATTATACAAATTTACACTATTATAATCTAAAAATACACAAAATATCAACAAGCTTATTTCTTCCGCGCCGACTTGCGCCGACCTGTCACTCAAAATCGGTTACAACGTCATGAGATTTGGTATCCTTTTCTATCTTGCAATTTTGCCATAAGGAATTTTCTTCTCCCTTGCACACTATGTTGGTCTATACGTATATCCTAAGTCTATGGTGCAAACATAAACAAACTCTTTGTGAATCAATGTGAAAATGAATTTTTAATTAATGTATCGTTCGTGACATTTCTAATTTTTACAGATTATAATTATACATTGTAATTTCAAGCCGAGAAGGGCTAGAACCCAGGGCCGTAAAGCCAGTAAAAAAGAAAGATAAACGTCACTGTCATTCTTCATTCATTGTCATTCTTGTCATTTCAATTTGTGTTGTGCTCCCGATCTCCAGATCTATGAATTTATGTATAAAATGCTCTCATACAATGAACTTTTAATTTAATGATTTATATGGATAGATTATTATTAAGTAAAAATAAAAATGTCAATACCACCAGTGAATTATAATGTACCTCCGCCTACGTTGAATATGCCTCCACCGGTACCATCCCCGACGGTGCCAGTTGTTCCTCCTCCAGCATTGTACCATCACCCGCAATTGTTTACTCCATCTATAGCTTCTCAAAATGTAACATCGCCTTTTGTACCAATGCAGACATTGCCGCCTTTGAATGTCCCACCGCCACCTGTTCCGACTTACCCCCTATCTTCCACTGATGTTCTTCCTACTTTTACTGCTCCTACTGCTCCCCAAAGTTTTTCTTATAGACAACAGGGGTATTATAACCTTCCATCCAAAAACGAAACGAAGACCGAATATGATTCTCTATATGAAAGAGATAGAGAATATAGTTATGTTAATTCAAAAGATCAATATAATAAACCTCATCATGACATAAGAGATAATTCATCTATGACTTCATCAAGACATAGACATTCTTCTCACAGAGATCAGAGCTATGAGAGAGAAAGAAATTATGAAAAAGATAGGAGATATGATAGAGATAGAACTTTTGAGAGGGAGAGAAAAGAAAGAGATTTTAAAGAAGCAAAATACCGGGAATATAGGTCACAGCACAGCAGGCGAAGCAGAAGCCCTTTAAGGCATAGTCACCGTGACCATGACAGAGATAGAGAAAGATATGATGAGCGTCGTGAATATGACAGAAGATATGAATATAAAAGGCCAAGCTCTACCTATTATAAAGATTATAGAAGCCACAGTCGTAATCATGATCCCAGGGATGATAGGAGACACCAAAGATCGCAGAGTAAATATAGTCACCGTTCTTCTAGCAGAGAGTCACATTCTCGCAGTCGAACACGAGAGTTTTCACCGCATTCACGTCATGATTCTGTCCCACGTAAACCTTTAACTGATCGTGAAAAAATATTAGAAGATTACAGGTAAATTTTAATGCACTAAATCTGTATTTACTATATGATTCAAACAATGGACATAAATTTTGTCTTAATCTCATGTTCAACGTAAGTAGGGTAAACGAGGATGTTACGGAAACAAAAGTTGTGTTATTAATGGTAGGTATGTATCAAGTATGCTAGTAAGAGGAATTTTGTTTAGTTATTTTTTTATTGAATAGAAGTAACAAACAAGTTTACTGATAGTAAGTGACGTCTGCTGTCCATGAACATCATTCACCTTCACATTAAGAAGGCTATATATGGAATATCACCTCTTAAATGAAATGTCTCAAAACCTGTAACTGTCCTGGCTCTCTGTACCATTTAGACCAGAGCAAAGTGTAGGCACAATGCGTTGTTATTTGGTGGCAGAAATATGTAAAAGTGTGATACCTTTCCAGACAAACTCAGACTGAAAATGAGTCTCACCACTTATTATTTTAAGTATATAATGATTTCTTATATTTACAAACATTACACATTTAAATAAAATTAATTTTATGGATTTTATTGTGTATATTATCTTATTTTATATTCCCGACGTTTCAAGCACTTTACAGCACCCATGGTCACAGGGGGGGGGGGGACTGAGGTGTATGACGTCCCAATATCATAGTTGACCACGGCCACCTCCAGATAAAATTTTTTTTTTATGTTGTTGCTTATGTTAAATCATTATTAACATTTTTCCAAAACACATCATAATGAGACAAAATATGCATTATAGCAGAAGGAAACTTCATTCAAATGATGAAACATTGTCAATACCAATTCCTTTGAATACAAATTGAAGATATTTTATCCTTCACAAGTTCTCAACACATCTATAGAGATTACAATTGTTGCTAGAAATAAAATGTCCAGAAGCAAGTGTAGTTGTCATCTTATGAGAACTTTTCTTATGTTAATTTCTATAAACTTATCTTGATTTTTAATATGTAATAAGTGTGAACATTTATGTAACCATAATTTCACTAACACAAATTCTCGGTTTGCTAATTTTAATTTGGATCTGGTTGGGTTGTATGTGTTGTACCTACAGGTGTAGATTAGAGTAAGTAAATTACTCTTGTTTTAGTTAATACTTCATAGACTTGTTTAAAGCTACCTGTTACGTAGTGAATATTTCCTGTGTTGATAGGTTCCAAGGTTCAGATATTATCTCTGTTTTTGTTAGAATGACATAGTCACCATTGAATAAAACTACTTTTATGGATTTTATTCCCTTTAATTAACTTATATTAAATTTTTATTATTGCTTTCCAGCAACCAAAGTGTCGGGAGTATTGTGTAGTGTTCGCGTAAATATAAGAAATCATTATTATCACCATTATCATATCAATGCAATATCATAATGAAATCCCAGAAAAAAATTAGTTTCTAATTTTCATTAAACTAAAACTACATATGAGACTGACCATGTAGTGGCGATGTAAAAATATCCACTAGGCCATATTGTCTCGTGGACATTGTAGTAGGTGACAGAGGGAAAGCAGGAGATGAGCAAGATCATTTTGCTAATAACAACTGGATTATAAAAAAAATCTGTGATTGCCAATTATGGAAAGACCAATGTTCAGTGGACTGAATGAATAAATGAATGAAAAAAGCTATAAAAAGGGTTATATAGTTACGACAGTAAGTTGCATATTCCATCAAATCTATGCGAGAATATTCCCAAAATTCGGCATTCCTTTAGTCTAATATATATTTTACAGTGATGTGTGGGAATTCAGTCTTTATTTAAATATGTATGAATAGCGGAGCATAGGCTCAACCTTGTGATAGATATATAAATGTTTTTCACCTTTGAATTGGACATATTGTTAATTGTGATTTTTCTAGATCTGTCCCCAAAGAAATTACTTTTTTCGGATACACGAAAGTGAGTGAAAGCGATGATAATGCAGCACAAACTATCTGGGAGCAGTTGGGACTTTATTGTACTATTGCTGTATGTGTGGAAGAATACATCCAGTTCTTGCATGTATCAATGTTAAGGAATATATGAATGAAACTAACTTCTAGGATTAAGGTTATCACTACGAAAGTCTTACTGTAATCCCTACTAATATTATAAATGCGAAGGTGTATATCATTCATTTATGCAGCAACTGGGTGATGAAGCATGAGAACATTATTTTTTGCATAGGGGTAGGAGACTAATATAGGCTTTTTATCCCGTAAATGCATGGTTCCTGTGGAATAGATCTGGAGCATTATTTTAATCATGGTGCATCAAGCACCGAAATTGTGCATCTAGCGAATTAGAAAGGTCACTATTGTGACTGTTGCAGGTAAAGTGAGTATGTTGGTATGTTTGTATTTTCTACTTTCCAAAATTTCAAACTATTTATGACTGAACTTTAAAAGTGACAGATAATAATTTGAGTATTCCATGCTTTTCAAATGGTCAACTGTATGTTGACTGTTCGAGTGTATCAGGAGCTCAAAACTGGCATGTGCTGGTAGAAAATAATAACAAAATTATACACATGACTTACAGATCTTTTTTCAGACAATTTTAATTTTAAATCATCCCGTTTATTGCATTGTCAGCAACTTCAAATTGTGTCCTTAAATTAGCCAATATTTCATTCAGTTGTGATTTTAATTTGTTTAGATTGTCCTAGTCATTTTATTTTTAAAGAAATATAGTAATACTAAACGTAATGCTTTTACTTTTTTCTTGCAGGAAAAATTATTGTGAGACTTCCGGTGATCTTATAAAAAAGATGGAACAATGGTCAAGAGAACATAATTCTGATGAAGATGAGGTAGTAAAATTTTCTACTGTTGATTTTTTTTAAAAGCTCTTGGTCTTAGACCATTTAACCAAAGGACGAGTTAAGCACCTAATGCTATAAACAAAAAAGTCTATCACTTTTGGTGCGGTACAAGGAAACAATACTTACTTATATATATAATATTACATTGAATATATTTTATATATAATAATTACTTAAATGAAGTTTTAATATACACATATTTATAGTCCGATTTTGTAGTTTTGTTGAATTTATTTTATCTGTTCGTGCCAAACGCTAATTTCAAGAATTAACGCGAGAGGGCGCTCGGCGCGGTGCATTCATACCGGTTTGACTTTCGGTCGTGCGTAGAACGCGCAAGCGCAGGAGTCGTCTGTAAGCGGTGCTAACGTTAGCACGCTGTCATTTTTGTCGGGAACTCGGAATAATTAGGCGCGGACAGTAATTATACGGTCTAGGATTTGTGGCGCGCATTCCTACTGGAGAGCTTCCCAGGGACACATTGTATCTGACTCAGAATCTGCATAAGTGCATTTGGCAATATTAGCTAGTGCGGCCTTTGATATTCTAGAAATAACTGTTGCTACGCGAAACGGTAGTGACCTTTGATCCGGAAACTCCGTGTGCGTTTTGTGCGTCAACCTTATACCCAGCGAGAGTTAGTGGCTTCTGTAAGTTAGTTAATCGTACGATAGAGTTAATTGACTGTCATCGTGACGAACGAGGAAAGTGACTGTGGACAATGCCGCGGAAGGTTCCTTCAATTTTGAGCGGTGTCGACGCCCGGGCTGCTGCCGACGGCCAAGGTCTAGGGTCAATCACCATCAGTCACACCCAGATACACATCACATCACCTTATTTCCCTTGCACTACACAACCACATGCGACCTGACCGACTCCGGAGGGACCAGTCGCCTTGGATATAGGTAAGTAAGCTCCGTCTAATATCCTCCCGGTCGACTGGCCGTAGTATAGAACGCTCCCCCATATAGTTTAGTGTAATTAGAAAAATTCCACGTGGCCACATTGAGGCCTGACCTACGTCTGCTCGGGAAGTCTTCTGCTCATGGGCCCCAGAGGATTTGACCCTTTAAGGGAGCAGCCGTAGGCCGTAACATTATCTAAGGACAGAAATTGTTCATTTACTCTTTAACACTTTAACTAGATAACAGACTCTACACAATAATATTATTCTTTAGTTGAGTGATTACATTAATTAATTAAATTTTGATGCTTCTTCAATAAATATATTCAATAATAATTGTAATAAAACATCGATATCGATCCGCAATCACATTACACATCAATTTTGGAAAAACCTAAAAGTTAACCCTACAGTGGTCGGGTGGATTATAATATTAATCCACTTTTAAATAATATCAAATTTCGGAAAAGCTACTTAAATTTTGACACGTAAAGTATTAAAAGTTGAATAGTAGGAGGACATACTCAGTGCAGTGAGGCACGTGAATTTACGCACCGATCGTGCATTGCATGTCGCAAATACGTTTGGCCGGGTCATCAAAAGTGCATATGTTCCTCTGATTTAGAAAAAAATTGTTTTATTTAAAATAGAGAATGACAGGGAACAAATCTGCTTATAGTTTGGGACTGATTACAGATAAGCACAAAAAAGTAGTAGTAAGTGTATTTATTAGTTAAAGTTGATATTTCACTGCTTTTTTTATTTTGGATTGGACTACATAATATGTAATTTGCGCAACGATTTACGTGTTTTTATAAGGCGTGACAACTGCAGGGTTAAGAATTAGTCTCGTTACACTTATTTAGCTGTCATTTTTTCGTTTTTAGGGTTCCGCACCTTAAAAGGAAAAAAACGGAACCTTTATAGGATCACTTTGTTGTCCGTCTGTCTGTCAAGACCCTTTTTCCCAGGAACGCGTGGAGGTATCAAGCTGAAATTCATATCAAATACTGTCTACTTATTCATCACAGTCTACTGTCCCTTAGAGCTGTGAAAAAAAAAAATCAAACTTCTAAGCCAACGCAATCAAAAGATACAACCGTTTATGCCGTAAATTTTCGACATTCGCAATTGAATCAAAACCTACAGGGTACTTCCCGTGAACTCAGAATCCTGAAATTTGGTACGAAGCAACTTTTTATAGCACAGATAAAGGAAAACTTGCACAAAGCATAAATTTTTAGTTACATCATATAATAAAAATATTTTTAATAATTTTAAACTTATATACCTACAGATTTGTTCAGAACCCTCGGTGCACGAGTCCGACTCGGACTTTGCCAGGTTTTTTTTCGAATTTCCACCTAATCTTTATGTACTGTTGGTTGAAATTGCTATACAAAAATAAAATAATCTCGTAACGAGTGTGGTTGTACTTGCGTGTTCAAATTTAAACCTAATTTCTAGCGGACGAAGGTTGAAATTGTAAAAAAAAAACAAATAGTCTCGTGGGGGAGTGTGGTTGTCACATTGCGATTATAACTACGATTTTTATTTTTTATGAAATACTAGCTTTTGCCCGCGTAGATATTATACTTTAAACAAATTATACTTTTTTTTTATTGTTTTTGCATCGCACGCCAAAATTGCTCGCAGATGACAGATTTTTCCGATTTATTTAACACTTATCGTTATATTTTGACCAATTTACACAATATCTTTATTAATTATAGCCTATATGTTGTTCTGGTGTATGAGCTATATTATTGTAAAGTTTCATTAAAACATATTCATTAGTTTTTGTGTAGAAGAGTAACAAACACCCATACATCCTCACAAACTTTTCATGTTTATTATTAGTAGCATTATGTACTCGATTACCTAATCGGTAAAGTTCTCGATTATTATTTATGATATTATTTTAAATGATTTTAATAGAAAAATACTTCCATATTATGGAATGTAACTCCATCTTTTTGTAAATTTTAAGTATTTGACTGCTATAAGCACATGTTAATCGCACAGATCGGCATTTTTCAAAGAGCACCTACTTCGGCGGAAAAGATTCTTGTGATGATAAAATCGATTCGATAAACAGTTTTTATAAACGCACAAGATTTTTAAATTCAATACCATGACTGAGGGAAATAATCATGCGAGGCGAGTCCATTGGGTTAAATGGTCTAAGTTCTTTGGTTCACAATATTCTATTAATTTTGTTTTTTATGCCAAAATTATTAAAATGGATTATTAAATTACTTCTGACTGTTCATCTATTCATCTGTCAGTGGCAAGCTACTCCCGAACTATTTGTTATTTTTATAATTTGAAACTAACTGCAAATATATTGTTTGGAAGTGTGCACCCGTCACTTATGTAACACTGACATTGTCTTTGCACGGTAATCTATATTTTAGCATTAGTAATGATATTTAAGTGGCAGTTTGACGACACAAAACATAAATTTGCAATTGTACAAGTTTAGCTTGCATTTTATCATTTTTTTAATTTAAACAATGTAATTTATGCTGTATTATAAAATACATTAAAGTTTGTTTCTATTTTATTTACCCTTATACTTAATATTACATTATTACAGACACCAAAAATGTGGTATAGAAGTTCACCAGCTGAACTATACTATAAACCTGTGGAAGGAAGTGCAGGCGTCATGCAAACAAGCAAATTAGAGAAACGTTGCAGTGTTTTCCTCAGAAATCTGATAGAAAGAGGGAAGGCAGCAAGACCGGAAGTAGATGAATTGCCACCTTTAAAACCACCCAGAACAAAAATGTGCAAACATAAATGTGAGTGAATAATATAGCTGCAGCTGGCTCTACCACATATATATTATAAAAATTAACTTTGTTTCAAAGAACAAAGAGTTTCATATTTGAGTTACTTATTTAGTAATATAATCAAAATATAAAAAAAATCCCTTTCTTAAGTAGATAACATATTTAGTTTCATGTATTTAAAATATGTCTGAGTCTACTAGTCTCCTAAAAGTGTTCATGCATATACAGTACCGCCATGGTAATTGTTGCTTGCAGCAAAACTCTAGTGATGACTGGATTACGAAATAAGTATAATACAATATAATTTGTAAAATTAACATAATATGTATGTATATTGAGCAAGTTAACATGGTATTGATGAATAGTGTCGAAATATGATTTGAAGTCACTCTCTCAAACAACGATACCTCATATAGTCATATAGTGAGATACTCAAACGCTACGCAATTTTAAGACATCGTTAAGACTCGTGGTGTCACAGTCACTTTGACTTAAAGTGATAGAGACAGCACAAGACTTTACGTCATCTTAAAATTGAGTACCGTTTGAGTATTTGTGCAGAAGAGACATAAATTTATATTAAGTTATGTGTTATACCTAAATGTCCCCTAAATTAAAGATAATAGAAATTATAGACATAACCATTGAATATTTCATATTTGTTTCCTTGCAACAGTTTAAAAACAAAATCAAGCCTTCTGTTGCCTTCAAATGTTACAATTGTAGTTGCATAAAACATCCACAATAGGTAATGTAGTTTAATGCAGAAGAAAGTGCAATATTATTAATGTAATAAAAATCTTTCTTTAGCGGACGATAAAAGTTCATCATCATCTGACAGTGATGATTGTCTTGATGAAGATGGTCTACAAGGTTACACAGATAGAATTATGCTAGAATTACAAAGAAAGCAAAGCCACCCGAGACGACTTCATCCAGAGATGTGGTAAGTTATTCACATTGTAGACATGAATGACAGACAGACATGACTGTATAACGTTCATGTCACACCTATGTCGGTAGTTATTGGGAGCATCACGCTCATAGTTGTCAACGAGTATGTTTACCTATGACAAATTGTCTGACTAAGTAAGTCCAACTTCGATCGAGAGGTCAATCGACGGATCCAACTCAGCTTTTGTCGCCAAATATACTTACTTCAAAACTTGAACAGTGCGTGTTGTCAGTGATGACATAAGAATCTGGGACATGGTTCTTTAAGCTGGCCGTATGACGAAACTCAAGGTCACTCCGCGAGTGGGCTATTCTCGGAGTTTCTCAGCGTGATAAATTTTGTAGTGTGGATATCCGACCAGAGGAACCGACATCGTCCAATAGATCAGTAAGCTGAATTGCCATATAACTTGCAGAACCAACCAATATGGAAGAAAGGATTTCGAGAGCAGGCTCGTATCGCTAAGCCATAGAATATACTTATAATAGTACTACGTACAGAAGTTCTTTGATGTTAACTGCTTGTCGACGTTTTACTAACTAGTAAGTTCGTAAAACGTCGTAGTAACTAGTGTTCGCAATGTGAACTGTGATATAGCTCCTCCTGCGAAAAAGACTCTGCATAGGTCGGAAGTAATCTTTTAGGAGTCGCTTCCAAGTTTCATATCGTGTTGCGGTACCAAGTTGTTGGTGGATATGTTGATGTGGAAGAGCCCTAGAAGATCTAGTCCGCAAGAGTCGTCGTCGCCCTGTCATAACGCAGAATTGCGCGAATATTTAACGACTACCTACCTACACACATATACGCTTGGTGATTCCAGCATGTGCAAGACCGAGTTCAGTGCATATGCAATGGTCTAGATTTTTTTTATAGGATAACGGTGACAAACGAGCACAGTCCACCTGATGGTAAATTGTTGCTGCGGCCCATAGACATCTACATCTATTCTCTATTACAAAACAAAATGCAGATGCGTTGTCACCCGTGAGAACTAAGATGGAATGCCTCATTTCCAGTAAAAAGGGTCTCCGGTCACACACTCACCATACGAAACAAAGCAGCGGTAAGCTGCTATTTAACGCTAGTATTCTGTGAGAGCGTGGTCCTTCCCCGGTCGAGCCGAACTCATTCGTGGTACAATTATACTACTAATATAGCTGCAGCATGGCTCTACCACATATAACAAAGATAATAAACAAGTACGTAAACGTATAAATAGATACTAAACAAGACGACTCTTCCCTCCACTCCTCCCCAGAGCTCTTATACGAGGGGCACACTGAAATGATCGGGAATAAGAAAAACCACATGCACGGTATAGCTAAATTGTATTTTATTGTTTTTCGAAGTATTCTCCGTTCAACTTAATGCACTTTTCCATTCGTGCAAACCAATCATTAAAACAGTAATTCGAGTCAGAAGTTGATGTTGACAAAACGGCTGATTTGTACGCTTCCACAGCTGCTTCGTGGTCTTCAAACCGTTGACCGCGAGATAAATCTTTCATTCTAGGGAATGCAAAGAAATCGTTTGGCTCATCAGCTCAACGTTTTCCTGCTTCAAAAATCATTTGGCCTCCGAGCCGTATGGGAGCTCGCATTATCTTGATGTAAGATGATGCGACGTTTCGGGTTATTTTTTCGGATTATTTTATCGACTGAATTGCAGTCATTCCGATACTGATAACAGCCCGAATCTGCTCGTATGTCACATGACGGTCATCTAATATAATAGTTCGCACAGTTGCGATGTTTTCAGGCGTGACCGCAGTTCTTGGTCGACCTGTAGAAGAAACAGTGCTGAGCGACACACGACCGCGTCGGAACTCAGCATACCAGCGGTATATTGTCGTTTGACTCGGTGCTTCAACATCATAAATCGAAACAAGTTCGCTGAGACATTTATCTTGAGATAAGCCGTGACGAAAATTGTGATAAATTATGGCACGGAAATGATCACGCGTGAGCTCCATTTCTGTTAACGACGTGTCAACTTTAAACCAACATAGTTTTTGTTTTTAAATATTTTTTTAATTGTTTGAATGTCATTAAGATTCTAAGCGGCCAGTATTCAAATTCTAAAAAAGGGTTTATTGTAACTCAATCCAAAATATTCTATTCCCGATCATTTCAGTATGCCCTAGTAGAATAGCTATATAGTATACGTCATGTTAGATGTCAACAAAGGTAGCAAATAGACCAGCAGAGCTCGCCTCCACTAATCGTAATGGTAATACCATGATACTGCTTCCTTGCCTTTTTAAACCTTTTTTCCATGACAATGTACTTTCAGTAATTTTTTGGATAAAATAAAATTAAATGTGTTGGTATATTCTTATTAGAGAGTATCTCTAATAAGAGTATACCTACACTGCAGGCCAAAAGTTTAAGACCACCTTAATTAAAGTAGGAAAATTAAATAAAACTTCGATAAAATATTAAATGTTTAATTAAACTGTTAAATCATCCAATAAAACACTTTTTGACCATCAATATAATTGAAAAGCGTAAAGAAATATTAACAGTCCATACTAAAAAAGGCTATAGTTAGCTAAACTGATTTTTCATCCAAAAATCCTCCTTTGCATTCTATGACTTTTTTCACAAGTCTCGGCATACGGGCAATCAATTTGTACATAGTGTCTTGTGATATATTGCTCCAACTTTCGCACAAAGCATTACACATTTCTTCTCGCGAAGATGGACCACAATTACGGACGTTCCTATCAAGCTCTATCCACAAAAGTTCAATGGGATTGAGATCCGAGCTCTGAGGAGGCCAAACCATGTTTTTAATAACCCCTGTGCCCCTTTCCCTTCGAAATATCCTCTGCATAATTTTTAGCTATGCTTAGGATAGGTTTTTAGAAGGTAAGTGACCCTAATTATTGACCAATGGGAAACAAAAGCAAAGCAATTAGTTATTAGCCCATCATAAAAATATTACTACTCTACCACCTGGCTCTAACGCAGCGTTTGTCGGAGTTTAAAAACAATACATGTTTATTGTCCAATAACTTGAAAGTAAATAAAAAAATGACTTAGATATTCGATATTAACAATAGAATATGCAGGTGTACGTTTCTCTTATTTATCTTATGGGATTTCGTTACAATTTATAGATAATTAGCTGACCAGGCAGACGTTGTTCTGCTCTTTCCGACGACCCTTTGTCTAATAAAAGAAAACCTTAAATTCGCAAAAAAAAAAAATATTGATGGTCGCTTAACGGGATAAAATCTATACTATCTCTCAAGTTGGACCAAACAGCACACCGTGTGCAATTTTCATTGAAATCAGTTCAGTAGTTTAGGAGTTCATCGCGGACAAACAACGTGACACGTAATTTTTATATGTAAAGATTATGTTCTTTAAGTGTGGTCTTAAACTTTTGGTCGCCTGTGTATAATATAGTCTTATGAGATTAGTATCATGGCAAACATTTAGAATATATTTTATCATGTAAACCAAACTAATACTGTTGTTTCATGAAACGTCACCCAGTTTTATATGAAGTTGTGTTCTTAAAATATGATACAATTTAAATATAGACATGTGAAGTACTCCAATAATAACCAATATTGCATTTAGTCCTTACTCTTGCATTATAATTGAGGCTTGTTAAGGTATTTGCGAAAACTTGAGGAATGGTTTTTGTTATTGTGGTAAAAAAAATTGTTTTGTTACAGCTGAAGTTATATTACTTTTATTGTTAATTGTGGTCTTCAGGTTCAACAATACTGGTGAAATGAATGGTGGCCCCCTGTGCCGTTGTAGTGTGAAGGCACGTCGATACGGTATGAGACATGGTGTCTATGCTGGTGAAGAATCATTTCCTAAGTGCATACCTACTCAGAGCAATGTTGACAAACTGTATCATTACAGGTATGTTACTTCTCGTAGGTTAATAAGACTGTGAACATAAGGATTTTTAAATTTTAAAGACAATGTTTCCTTTCTATGAAATCAGATGGATCCCATACAATGAAATTAAGACCAGTGCCCGGTTGCCATTGTTATTTTACTATAATTAAAATGTAAGGTAAGAAAAAGTCTAATCACCTACGCGCACTGCTGGTCACAGTCATTGTCTTATTTGTGAGAGGGTCTTAGGCAACGAAGAATTTGCCGCGCTATAGCAATGCGTGTTTGCAGACTTTGAATGTGTCAACAATTTTTATTTTATTTCTCAACATTGAGTTATATGTACTACGTACTAGAGAAGCCTTTTTAAACAAAAAATGTGTACTACTCTATGTCTTCGCTCATGCGCAGTTGATTTAAGCGCGTTGCTCCTGCGCGGTCAGTTTATATAAAGAAATATATTTTTTCATGATTTTTTCTTTTGTAATATTACGATATTATTACCTATTTATTCACTTGAACAACAAATAATTTTACTTACTTGACTACTGAATTGTTATTTACGTCCAGGGTTAAACTTTAATTAGAAATCTTGTATTATTAGCGCCGCTCTATACTGCATGAACATTGTAACCACAGACTAACTAGTAGATCGAAACCACACTAAATGACACACTGTACGGATTGCAGTACAGTTCTGTTGAACATAGTGTATGTTCGGAATGTGCAATCTAGTAGATAGTACATATATATCGATGTTTCTTAAACATGAAAATTTCCTCTTAATGTAACTAAAAATTAAACCTAACAATTACTGCCGAGCACATGGTAAATCAGCATTAAAATTTCAATAAAATTTTTTCAGTAATTCGGCGGGGATCTAATTCGTGTCATAATAATTTGGTGTTAATTTTTTTTCAGGATAACCGTGTCCCCACCAACCAACTTTCTCATCAAGGCACCGACAATAATCTCTCATGATGAACACGAGTTTCTATTTTCTGGGTTTTCCATGTTTTCTCACTACAAGCTGAAGAAGTTACCTACTTGCAAAGTCATTAGATTCAATATAGAGTATACTATATTGTATGTGGAGGAACCTGCCCCGCAAAATTTCACTATACAGGAACTTGACTTATTTGGTATGAACGCTACCTAATTGTATCATTTATAAGAATTTAGATGATTTGAATCAATTATAGTTTTTTTTTAATTATAGTTGTTGTTAGGTATAGTTTTTTACGTGGTAGAGCCATGCTGCAATTATATTGCTGGTATAGTTGTCGCACGAACGGGTCGGCTCGGTCCCCGGACAGAAATAAATTTTTATAGAGATAATACACAGAACGTGTACGTACATACATTCAAACTAAGTTTTACACGTAAGTAAATACAAAAATTGAACCTACAGTTATAAATCGTTATCCTTAGGCATGATTATATTTTTATACTTAGTTGTAGCACGAATGGGTCGACCTAGCGGGAAGGACCACGCTCTCACAGAATACCAGCGTAAAATAGTTTCGTAGATGGTCTATGGGCCACAGCAACCACTTACCATCAGGTGGACTGTGTGCTCGTTTGTCACCCTTATCCTATAAAAAAATAGTTATGTTCAGCCTTGTAGTGCTAGGAATATTGTTTTCGTACTATATACGAGTTAGACATATTGGTATACGTATAATATATTTATATTTCTAAGGTTACTGACTCTCACTGACAACATTAATTTGTAGGAGTTGGGAACGATTATCACGGATCCTTCTCCTCCTATATTGCTCTCGGTGTCGACGGTAGCCAGGTAGATTTGCCTTTACTGGATAAAACATACCATGAAATAGTCAAAGCTAGGAGTGTCTAAGTTAAATGTTAGGGTTACACAAGACTAATTATAGCTTAAGTGTTCCTGTAGTTATTAATTGTACTGAAAGTTATTTTTTTTATTTTAGAGGAATACCTGTTCTACGAGCTACTGGAGCTTGTGGATTTAGACCTGGGTAAGGCAACAGAAACTTCATGCTCACAGTTCCATTTCATGCCGCGGTTTGTACGTTACTTGCCAGAAGGCGGATGCGAGGTATGAACCTTTAAATTGAAGCTTACAAGTGTGCACAATTATTATTAATCTATACATCTATACAATAAATAAATAAAATTGAAGTGTCTGTTTGTAAGGTCAAAATAACAGTTCTTACTAAATGCATGTGAAAGTTATAACAAAAAAGCAATTTTTAAAATATTTGTCTGTCTGTTTGTTCTGGTTAATCTCCGAAACGGCTGGATCGATTTTGACGGGATTTTCACTGGCAGATATCTGATATTATAACGAGTAACTTCGGCCTTTATTTAAAAAAAATTAAGTTTCCGTGCCAAAAATTAAAATTAACCCATGAAATCAAATCGTAATAAATTCCACGCGGGCGAATTCGCGGGGAACAGCTAGTATTGTAAAAAATGTAATACAGATTTGCACCTAAAATACAATATAAAGCTTCTAGGTGGTTAGGCTCATTTTCTGATTAGAATTCAATCTTAGGACTAGACTACTAGCCCTCTTACTTACGAGGGTAGCTGAAGACTTCTCGGTATAAAGTAGTCAACCTGCGCTCTCAATATTTATGTTACTTATTGCGTACCTCCCCATTCGTTTTTATTGCAAGTTACAACTTATGAGGTTCGTTACGTTGTAAGTAATTAATATAAAAGTTGGTGGTGACCAAATCTATCGAATTGAAGCGTTTAAGGAATGTCAAGCAAAGTAAAATTTCTGTATAATATACATTCTGTGTACTAAATATCGGGAATTTGTCAATGAAACAAAAAATACAAATTATTCATCTAAATTTATTTTATCGCCTTCAAAGTAGGCCCCATCGCTTGCAAGACAACATCTCCAACGCTTCACCCAGTCTTCCATACATTTTTCATAGGCTATTTGCGGTATGGCCTTTAGCTCATTCAGCGAATTTTTTTTATGGCTTCTATCGACTCAAAACGTTTTCCTCTAAGTGGTAATTTTAACTTGGGAAATAAAAAAAAGTCAGACGGAGCCATATCAGGTGAATACGGTGCTTGGTCGAGAACTTTTGTTGAATTTTTCGCTAAAAACTCTTTCACTATAATGGCTGTGTGTGATGGTGCATTATCATGGTGCAGCATCCATGAGTTGTGTTGCCACAAATCTGGACGTTTTCGGCGGATACTCTCACGCAAACGCTTCATGACGCCTAAATAATATTCTTTATTCACTGTTTCTCCCTTTGGAAGGAATTCGGAGTGAACCACACCACGGTATTCAAAAAAAAACTGTCAGCATCACCTTGATTTTGGAGCGCTTTGCCGCGGTTTTTTGGGTTTCGGCTCGTTTTCAAGACGCCATTCTGAAGACTGTTGGCTTGTTTGCATGTCGTACTCATAAACCCATGTCTCGTCGCCAGTTATTATACGTTTCATAAAGGTCGGATCTGTAGAAGCTCGGGAAACCATGTCTTCAGCGACATGCTTTCGCTGCGCTCTTTGAACAAAATTAAGCTCTTTTGGAACTAGTCGAGCGGCGACGCGTTTCATGCCTAAAATGTCAATGAGAATGTTGTAGACGGACTTAAAAGATATGTTCACCTCACTAGCCAACTCTCTCAGACTCATACGTCGATTTTCGAGCACTAGCTTCTTGATTTTGTCGATGTTTTCTTTGGTCGTAGCGGTTGAAGGTCTACCAGAACGAGGCAAGTCTGCTACTACTTCTCGGCCTTCTTTAAAAGCCTTATACCATTCATAAGCCCTTGTTTTCGATATACACGATTCGCCGTAGGTATTTCGCAACATTTTTAGTGATTCACCACATGAAATATCATTCGAAACACAAAATTTAAGGCACACTCTTTGTTCAACAATATTTTTCATTGTAAAAATCGCCGAGAACTCAAAACTATGACCAACAAAAAGTGTAGTTTAAAACAAATTAAATGACAGATCCCGCTCAAACTTTGCGCGCTAAATCAGTACAGTGCTACCAACATGCAGTAAAAAAATTAGAACGACCTCTTTTACGCGGGTCTTTTTGTTGACATATTCCCGATACTTTTTACACAGAGTTGTATATATATTTGGTTTACGCAATTATATTCATGTTTTACTTTTTTCTACTAAGCTCAAGTGGATGGAAATTCGCTTTATATGCCCATATTTCTCTTCTTATTGCGTCGTGCGTCGCGTTTGTATGAAATGCCATAATTGGCATTTTTCATATACATAATATATCTTTACATCGGTGGATAATAATATTTTTAGTGTATTTTTTTCATATTTCAGGTGTTGTCCATGTGTGAAGTGTTGAAATACCTTATAGATGAAAGTGGCTTACTCATACCGCCGGATAACTTGGAGGAAGTTCATAATATGGATCATTATAAATGGCAGAAATTCGTCGACCGAATCAAAGGTGACAAACTCATAAATGTTTTGTAGGCAATCAAGTTTTGATGCTTGCCAAATTGTATAGTCCGCGAAACCGTAATTGCATTTTAAGTGCTTATTTATGTGCATTTGCTCGATGGTGTTAAAATACATCGCAAGGAATTTAAAAAAATCGGTGAATTAAAAAATCCAGGGCATGTGAAATCTGCCAACGCATTGGAGCATCACGGCGGCTTAGCTTAAAATTCTCTCAGGAATAAGAAGGAGCCTATGATCATCTGTGGGAGATGCATAAAGCAGATACTTTACTTTTAATCAATTTTATGTTATTATTTAATTTAATGTACGGATTACTATACATTGTCTTCACCATTCAATAATAGGGTATACTAATGCAATACATTTTACTAAAGCTTCGGTCACACAGCGAATATTCGCTGCGAGTGTATTCGCTGCGAATATTACTCGCAGCGAATACACTCGCAGCATAGAATTATTACGCATAGAATATTAGTACGCGCACCGAAAGTGAAGCAAGTCAAACTAACGCGAAACCGCGTTAGTTGACTCAGCGACGCGTCAGTACGCAACGTCACGTCTTACGGAAAAGAGCTCGCGAAATATTGTAAAATATTACCGTTTGTGTTGTAAAATATTATCACAACGGTGATATTAAACATAAAAGAAATGATGGTATTACATTTCACATATAAGTTTATACATTTAATTCATTATAAGTACGTAAAACTAAAAAAATACTTTCCTAAACCCTCATAATACAAATGTTGCTAATTGTGGGGAAAAAATCACAATTTTCTTTTAAAAATATTTATTTTCTATTTGTGTTAAAAACGTTTAATCGCAACGCTCTAAGTAAAACTCAAATGTTGATATACAGGGTGGGGCAGCATAACTTCCTTATTTGTAATGCGCGCCATTCGGTCAGGTGACATCGTAGTGGAGCGCTAGTGGTCTCGTTCGAGAGGGGGGGCTATAAAGTTTAGTCGAGACAGCTCAGTCGCCATAATGCGTTGGAACAGTGAGGAGCGTGCGTTTGCTGTTGAGGCTTACTTTTCGCGCGGATGTTCTGTGATTGCAACTCAGCGCGCCTTTCGAAATCGCTTTAATTTAGCCCCGTTGGCCCCTGTTCCAGACCGAAAATCAATTGTTATGTGGGTCACTACGTTTAGACAAACTGCAAGTGTGACAAAACGAAGAACTGGAGTCCCTCGGCCCATTAGATCACCTGAGAACATTGAGGCAGTCAGAGCTTCAATGTTGCGATCACCACGGCGTTCTGCGCGCAAACATGCATCTGCCCTTGGACTTTCCAGTCGTTCTGTGCGGAGAATTCTCCATGAAGACTTACATTTCCATCCATACAAGATGGCGACTGTACAGGAACTGTCAAAACGTGACTACGATTCTCGCAGGAACGCATGTGAGATTCTTCTGGATGTCGTTCCTGAGGACGCTATTGTTTTTTTTAGTGATGAAGCACATTTTCACTTGTGTGGATCCGTGAACAAACAAAACATGCGCTACTGGGCTGACACCAATCCTCGAGAATTGCATGAAAGGCCTTTGCATTCACCTAAGGTCACAGTGTGGTGTGCAATTTCCTCAGCTGCAATTATTGGTCCCTGGTTCTTTGAGAAAAATGAAGTCACAGTAACAGTGAATTCGGGCCGGTATGTAAACATGTTACAGGAATTCTTTTTACCCCGGCTGGATGCGTTGGACTTGGGAGACATTTGGTTCCAACAAGACGGTGCAACGGCACACACTGCAAGAGCATCGATGGCTGTTTTGAGAGAACACTTCCCAGAACGCCTTATCTCAATCAGGGGCGATTTGCAGTGGCCGGCCCGATCTCCCGATTTGTCCCCTTGTGACTTTTTTCTATGGGGTTTTTTGAAATCCCGTGTTTATGTGAACCGTCCAAGGACCCTACAAGATTTAAAGAACAACATCCAGGAAGAAATTGCCAACATAACGCCTGCTCTGCTTCAAAGAGTTATGACAAACACCAGAAATCGGTATACTCAATGTATAGAGAATAAGGGACGTCATCTACCTGATTTGATCTTCAAAACTAAATAAAACAAAACTTTAAGTATGTACTTACATTGTAAAAACCAAATAAAATTTTTCCGATTCATACAATGTGTTTTATTAGGTTTTAAAAAAAGGAAGTTATGCTGCCCCACCCTGTATAGGTACCTACTTCTCTAAGTGTTAACATTATATTAACAATGGGTGCCTATTTAAAACTAATACGGAATGATCAGCTAATCGCGATTCGTCGACGCCATTTTAACGCAACTATTTTATTTTAATTGCTTTGTTTATTGACTAAGGCTACGTTTTAGAGTATAGAATAAAAACTTTTTTATTTACAACATCAAGAGATTATTAATAAGAACTCTTTTACTAACCAGATGTCACTTTACACCCAAACATTAACCAGAGGTTACGTTAGACCCAAACTAGGCCAACAATTTTTAAAAAAAAAAGACTCCCATAAAGGAAGGTTATCAATATGTATGTACACTGATTTCTAAGCTTGTTCAATTCGTATATACATGCTGAAATTTTAGTGGTTGTTGTCCCGCAGCCAAATTATACTGTCTCAATAGTAGAGTCAATTTATTAAATTAAAAAAAATTACAATTAAAAGGGCAGATTTACAATAGTAATACCTCACAAGCTAGTCGGGCGTCCAGACTAGTTTACGTCGTTTCACTACGCTTGAGAGTTCATGTTATGAACATTTATTAGTGGCCCTTCACTGTGTGGGATGCGCGCAGTAGCGCGTGCGATAGACGTAACACTACATTACGTCCAGCGAATTTTTTTGCAGACTTTATTATAGTAATTCGGTATAAGCAAGCCTGCACGCCCGACCTACTTGCGAGATATTGCTATTGGTTTGAGATCGCATTCGAGTTTTGTTTTTCTCGATTGTAAATCTGCCATTTTTACATCCTAATAATTTTTATTTTAATAAATCTATTGTACTACTACGGCAAAATCATTTTACTTCGGGAAAACAACCATTAAAATTTCAGCGTGTATATTGGATCAATCTGTGTGTATATCCTTTCAAACAAAAAAATCTAAATCGGTTTAGAAATTGTAGAATTCTGAGGTAAAAAACATTAAAAAATACACCGAATTGATAACCTCCTCCCTTTTTGGAGTCGGTTAAAATTAAACATTGCACGATATACTTATTGTATTCGAGCAAATTAATTGTGTTTAATAATATTCTTAAATTTTATTACGTCTGCATTTTTGTATCATTAATATATGTATAATAAAGTTATATTAGTACCGTCATTATCGTGTTTATTTTATTTCATTTTATATTCTCATAAAATACATCTTCGTACGTAATACGTAATCTTTATTATATCGATTTTTAAAACTAATCAAAAAATAGTGATATGCACAATTTGATTGCAAACGCCTGAAACTGGTATCACTGAATGGCGTGTATGTGTGCGTGTGACGAGCGTAGGCACATTCGACTCGCGCCCACTAACATAATGACTTTGCATCATTTTAACGCTCGTGTTTTGTACTAGACTCCGTTTCTATGCGTAATAATTCTATGACTCGCAGTAATTTTGTTTAAATAGACCAACACGTTACAAACGATATATTACATTTGATAACCATTAATATTACGTTACTACAAAGATATAGATACCCACATTCAGCATTTCAAACAAAAATAAATTTAAAGTTCATTTTGTGCCCTCAACAGCACAGCCGCCTCCTCTGAAGACTCAGCTTCGCTGCGGGGCAGACAGGTGATGCCCGAGCTGACGCTTACGCAGTTCGCTCTCGGGTATTATCGAGAGCTCTGCCTCCGGCCAGGGTTTCAGTTTTACTATCTCACCCACAATGCAGTCCTGGCTTGCCTTATTTAGGCACGTTACCAAAATCCTATCCCGAACCCGAAAATTTCGGTCTCATTTCTGGCTGCGCTCCACAGGCCGTCTTATAGTCCAAGAGGCAGAGCCAAAAAAGTCTCTGAATTTATTAAGCCTGGTTTTTTCTCAGGTGATTGTAATCATAAGTTACAATAAAATGCTACGATCAGTCAAGCGGATATTAGAACAGGTGTCTCAGGTGCGCGGTCAAACATGTCGTGACCACCGACATAATAAAATCAATTTTTTAAGGCTGAAACTTTATAAACTTTTGTTGAACCCGTTTACGACTGGACTCCCCCCAGCCACGCATCATCGGCACGGTACGCTTAACACCTTGGATTGGATTAAGATAGGAAAAAAGGGGGTGGGATAAAAAGAAAAAAAAATGAGGATTGTCTTGTTTCTGTTCTGTCTGTTTCCTATTGAACCAGACCCAATTAAGAGGCGGCAACCACGTGAAGGAAGAACTCCTCAGACTTGCTCTGGGGATCAACACGACCTGCGCTCTCCCCCAGAGCCATTAGCCAAACTGCTCGCCGTACAGGAGAGCAGAATAGATGTTAATCTAGTCCTACTGATAATGCTAAAATGTGAGAATTAGGAGTAGACTAACCCCCGCCTTAATATCCCTAGTCTATGTACATGATTATTTCCATGTTTGTTTTATATTAAGAAATTGTAATTTTGATTCTTTTTGAAAATAGAAATATTTTTTCTTATTTATCAACCTAATATATTTATTCTATAGAATTACAAAAAAAACCAGTAAAGTGATTAGCAAAATAAAACTTGTAAATTGTAATATTAATAATATTTTTTTCTATTTTAGGCATGATCGTAACATATCCCGGGAAGAAACCATGTTCAGTGCGCGTTGACCAACTAGACCGAAGTCCCCCCGTCAGTGCCAACGAGGTGAAGGATCCCAAGGAACTGAAATCGTTCTACCCGGAGATCGTACACTTTGGCATCAGACCGCCACAATTGAGCTATGCTGGAAATCCCGAGTAAGTGTCAAGCCAAGCTCATCATGTTCGGCCGCATGATGTGCCGTGTTATCCATTTTTTTATAGGTAAACGAGCATGCGGCTCACCTTATGGTAAGTGACTACCGCCGCCCATGAACAATTGTAACACCAGGGGAACCAGGGGAATTACAGATGCGTTGCCGGCCTTTTAAAAAGGAGTAGGCTCGGTCCGGAAAAATCGCTGATGGTTATTGATTCCACAAGGAAGTCGTGCGAGGAAGAAAACATCTTCTAAATCGCACAGTGGTGGACCGCCAATCATCCATATGGTGTGGATGGTATCGGCAGTTCGATGTGCGTTCGTGAAATTTGGCGGCTGGGATTAATCCGAACAATTCCTCAGAGCACTCCCCGTGGTAAATGCGAAAGAAAATTCAAAGGGATGCAACAACTCTTCGCAGTTCTAATAATAGATAATACACTATATACCAGGGTTCCAATGAATCGAGCCGATCGGAAAGGACTCGTTCGTCGACGATTCGAGCCGCTCTGCGCTGGATGCGGTCAAGTAGAAGGAGCTGGCACTGGGGAACCCCTGCCCAGAGATGGGAATGGGAATTTATTGCACGCCTCACAACGTGAGGAAGCGTTCTACTCTCGATATGTGGCCATACCTTTTTTTTTATAGAATAGGTGGCAAACGAGCATGCAGCTCACCTGATGGTAAGTGCCGCCCATGAACAACCGCAACACCAGGGGAATTGCAGATGCGTTGCCGGCCTTTTAGAAAGGTGTAAGCTCTTTTCTTGAAGGTTCCTAAGTCGTATCGGTCCGGAAAATTCGCTGGTGGTAATTGATTCCACAAGGAAATTGTGCGAGGGAGAAAACTTCGTCTAAATCGCACAGTGGTGGACCGCCAATCATCCAGATGGTATGGATGGTAACGCGAGTTTTGTCGCGATGTGCGATGGTGAAATTGAGCGGCTGGAATTAGTCCGAACAATTTCTCAGAGCACTCCCTGTGATAGATGCGATAAAATACGCAAAGAGATGCAACATCTCTACGCAGTGCCAGTGTATCGAAACCATGGCTGGGATCTACCTCCGATGGGCACCACAGAGGATGGAATAAAAAGTTCCATACCCTGAAGTACCACATCAGCAACAGAATCGGCAACAACGCTGGGATCTTCTGGCGAGAAGCAAACCCGCCCCCAAGGGTAGGATGCAAAAAAAGACTGCATCCCGTCCCAATCAGCTGACCTATAGTGCCAAACACGGCGGCAAGTTGCAGATCGCAACTGCGATTGGAGCGTGAGTTGCACCGTACTCCGGATCAGACAATGGTCCGAAGAGCCCAGAGGGGCATCAACGGAGACCTGATATCCGTCCGGATGAGAGGTCAGCAGAAGGTCCAACAGGGAAGGTACATGGTCTTCCACATCTGGGATCCGCGTAGGCGAAGTAACCAGTTGTGTTAGACCATATGCCAAAGCAAAGTTATAGACAGATGTACCCGCATGATCGGTTAAACGAGAACCAAGCCATTCAGCGTGGTGGGCATTGAAATCACCGAGTATCACGATCTCTGCGGATGGGACCTGTTGTAGCACGGAGTCTGCAGCCATTTGGACGTGGTCGATGAGTCGGTCTGTGTCGGCATTACCGCTATGGGACCTATAGAGGCACCCGTAGACGCGGGGATGGTCGTCGCTGTCTACGCGCAGCCATAGGATGGACAGGTCCGTACCTTCAAGACTGCCGAGGCGTCGAAAACAGATGTCCTCTCTGACGTATACGCAAACTCCAGTCCGGGGCACAAAGGAGTGTTCCAATTTGTACCCCGGGTAGGAGAGATATGAAGTATCAGCCGGAGAGGACACCTGAGTCTCGGTTAAAAAGAGCAAGACCGGCTTCGCCATCTCTAGATGGTAATGGATAGCGTTAAGGTTGGAATGAAGTCCCCTGATGTTACAAAAATTCACGGATAGCGTGACAGGGGTCGCCTTGGTTGTATTACTCCGCTTGCCTGGAGCAGCATTAGTCGCGAGCGGAATTTTGCCAGAATTGCAGCCTGAGCACCCACGCTCAGGAGTCAAGTAGTTTGGTCGTGGATGCTCAGCGAGGGATTCTCCAGGGGTGCTGGTACCCTCCTGGGGAAGTCTACTGTGTAATTCCGCTACCATGTTAAATAATACCTTAATTTCGCTACATAAAATCGTTCCTATACTTTTAGCTAGACATTAAATCCATATTGTTATTAACAGTTTCAATAACTACAGACATTGAATTATAAGATTAGTTTATTTTCTAATTGATTTATTTTAGATTACGTAACAGAAAATGTAATTGGTAAAATATATGGACTGCTGTCCGTTGGTCTGTGCGTCGGTGAATCTTCTCACTTAATAGAAATGTAAGCAATAGATTGAGATATATAGTATTAAATAAGATTCCATACGTTCTAAGAAGGATCCCTATTGATTTTTGTTATTGAACTCAACACCGTTTAAAAGTTATTTATTCATTTCATCAAAATTTCTTTTAATTTTAAAGAAAAAAAAATTTGTTACATTTTCCAAACTATTTTTTAATATGTTCTATGCGTGCAAAACATATTCATATAGAATAGGAATAGGTTTACTGCTACTGCATTTTGATTTCTTTATTATTCTAAGTAAAATATAACAATTGAAACAAAGGTAAATGTTTATTAAAATATATTTTAGTTTGATTATTTGCACGTCTTCGGCACCATCATTATCATCATTATAACAGTGCTTCTCAAGTCCTTGTTAAATATCATCAAACTACGCGAGGATGATGAGAGATACAGATTGCGAAGGAGTGGTCTGCTTGAGGTTGCTATACACTAATACGTTTTATTCGATTAGTTTTTTATATCATGGAATGTGTTTAATTACTGACGGGTCTGTTAATTTTCTTTTTTTTATATTATATTTGGTAAATTGAATGCAGTCTGACCATGAAAAATTACAATAAAGGAATATCTACTGGGTTTCCTCCGCTGTTTCTGCTAAGGAAGCGTTATTTTCAAATGTTAGTGGATTTAAAAAAAAATACTTAATTTCATAGTTAGAAAAATGAAGAGATTTCATTTATTTACACTACACTGTTAAATTTCTAGTCCTAGATTTGATTATCAGCCAATGTTTGACATATGTGCAACACCTTGTGTGTTGTTCTTAATATTCAGACCTGAATGACACTGAATGGTTTTATAAGGTCTTTTTGTCTGGCCATTGAAGAAGCATCGAATTCGGAGAAGTCATTGCAAGATTCATGCACTGATGCCTCGTATTGAGGTGAAACACGGATCGTGATGTCGACTTAGGCCATCTGTAGTGGTTGTGGCAGTGAACGCGATTGTGGGAAGGGGTTTAGTGCTCTCATATTTTCGGAATGGCTGTAACCAATATTGATGAAAATTTACGAACAGATAGGGAGCATTTCCAGAAAGGAATTAGGGATATTGTATCTAAAAAAGTTTAAGTTTTTTATTTCCGTAAATTAAATCTGAATATTGCGGGTCGCTTGTCTTGAATAAATACGAGATGGTTATGGATAATTTGAATCGGAAATAAAATATTATTATAGTTTTAACAGCACTCTCATATGGTTAAGATTATTGTTATTATTATTATTATATTGTTATCTATCGAAGGTCACGGAGGTATTGAGCCTAATCTCCTTATGTGCCTCTTATAATGTCCTTATAATGCCCGCGGAATGAAATCTATAATGATGGTGGTGGGAGTCTCTTAAACGGCTTGCGGTGGTGGCCAGTTGTATTCGCTTGCAATGTAAGTGAGAATGCAAGGTGTGTTGTTGCAGCGACTGGCGCCGCGGCTCGCGGATAGCCGCCACCGCGAGCCGCTTGTGTGTGGGATACGCTTTATGCAACCACCACACAACGAAACAAAGCTACATACCATTAATATTTTATTTCTCACCTTTGATTATAGTGATCGATGATCAAAATTTTTGGAATATACATGATTTTTTTAAATTTAGATACCAAAAAGCGTGGCGGTACTACGTCAAATATAGACACTTGATAGCAAATATGGCGAAACCGTCTTTTAAAGAGCGACAGAAGTTGGCAGCCAAAGAAGCACAGCTTCAGGAAATGAGGACACAGAGCAAAATGAAGAGAGACGTCACAGTCGCCATATCCTCCGAGGGATTTCACACAACGGGACTTATGTGTGATGTCGTTCAGGTATGCGACGTTTTCACAGATATTTCCTAAATAATTTTTACTTCATTATGATATGAATTGCAAGAGTGTGCATTAACTTATAAACGTGCTATATTAGAGGTAGAGCCACACAGACAGTGTATTATGCCTGTTGCACTTACGGAATACCAGCGTGACATAGATTTTGTTATAACTCTGCCTTAAAAATCTACATATCCCAAACTATATTAATGCATAAAAAATATTCTATAAGAATATTATTTCAAAATTATTAAAAATATGTTAATTGTAACGCAAATAAAGGTTGACGGAGTTGACAGGACTGCCATTGTTGCTGCACTTTATACTGGTAACAAGGCATTTGATTTAGTCCATAGGGATGACAACGCATTTGCATTTTGGTTTTTAATCCAGAGTATGTTAAATATGTCTGTGCTCGTTTGTCACTCCTGCTTCTATAAAAAAAATATCCCGGTGTATACACTGAGTTAACACTGTTCTTCAATGAGTTATTTTTTTATGTTTCAGCATGCAATGTTAATTCCAGTCCTAGTGAGGCATCTTAGATTTCATAAATCTTTGGACAGCCTGGAAAGGAAAATGGGTTATGTGTTTAAGAAGCGTCTCCTACTACAAACCGCGCTGACTCATCCATCGTACAGAGAGAATTTCGGCACAAACCCGGACCACGCAAGAAACAGTCTTACGAATTGCGGCATACGGCAGCCCGAATACGGAGACCGCAGGATACATTATACTAGAAAGAAGGGTAAGCGAGATCCTAATGTTTTGTTATGTTAATTGTAAATAATAATACTCCACGGATCTTTGGGGATATATGCGTATTTTTTTAATTCTTTAGAACATCCAGTTGCTGTTTGATGTTGTGGTTACTGGTTCATGCAGTAGATTTTAATGAATTATTAAATTTCTAGTAATAAGGCATTACGTAGGGGTGTCAACCTTATTTTATGTAATTACTGTTTTATAAAACTGAAAGGACAAACAATACAGTCCACCTGCTGGTAACTGTGTACTGCAGTCCAAGGTTGCGGCCAACTTCCAATAATAAAGGTTATAGATGCATTGCTACCTAAGTACTAAGATTTAATGCCTCATATCCTTCTTAAGGGACCACAACAATACAAGCTCTTTTTTTATTGAGCGTGTTATACTTATTTATCCAATAAACCTAATGTTTAAATTAAAATGATTGTTACAATATTTTTACGTTAAAGTTATTGTTCTAATATTGTCATATTGTTATTTTTTTGCAGGCATAGTAACACTCATAAACATAATGTCCCGTTTTGGCAAACGTAGCGAGACGGAGTCCGATATAAAGCACAACGAGCGTTTAGAGTTCTTAGGCGACGCCGTGGTCGAGTTCCTGTCCTCCATACATCTGTTCCGGATGTTCCCTGGCCTGGCTGAAGGTGGATTGGCCACGTACAGAGCGTCTATAGTACAGAATCAACATCTCGCACAGTTGGCTAAGGTAACTATTGAAAATCTATTTATTTAGGATTTTCCCTTTTGTTGTTAGAGTGTTATAGTTCAACGTAACATAATCTTGAGTGTATTATATTTAAGTACGTAAGTTCGGTGCTTAGTTTTGATTTATTTTCGCAGTCACTGTACATAGCGCAGTTTGAGTTATACTACGGATTTTGCAACACTCAATCTACGAAAGAAGCATTTGTCGTTATCCTCGAGTATGCAGTTCATATAAGCGAATCACTTATCGTAAAATTAAGCCTAATTTATATAAAATTCAGTTATACTTTTTTCGTAAAAGCAATAATATTTTATTCTTAATGAAAGTTGAAAAGGAATAAACATGTTCTAATGCATGTTCTAAAACAAAAACAACACAAATAAACAAGTGTTGCAAATCCGAGCAAACCAGACCACAACCAGCACCTGTTCACTAATATGATGCATGTGGCAGCCATTTGGAATCCTGGACCATTTTAAAAGTAAATGGATGACACACCATACGATACCTCGTCTCGCAAAGACTTTTTATGTTCGAGTTACATGGTAGAGTCATGCTGCAGCTATATTAATAGTATAGTTGTAGCACGAATGGATCGGCTCGATCGGGGTAGGACCACGCTCTTACAGAATACCAGCGTAAAATAGCAGCACAATGCTGCTGTGTTTCGTATGGTTGAGTGTAGAGAACTGGAGACCCCTTTTTACTGGAAACGAGGCATGCCATCTTAGTCCTCAGGAGTGGCAACGCATCTGCATATTGATACGTAACAGATGTAGATGTCTATGGGCTTACGTCAACGCTTTAAGTGTGCTCGTTTATCAACCTTATCCTATAAAAAAAGTGATCCATACAGGTTTTGAAAATAAATTTTAAAAATATATTTATTCATCTTTCTGTAATCGTCTACAACTGGACGTAGACCACTCTTAAATTACGTGACTTGTCTGTCGCCTTTTATATATACATTTTTATAGGCCGATATGAATTGTAGTTAGACCACAGAATAAAATAGTTAAAAGAACAGAAGATCACTCTCTGATAGCAAACTTGCGAGTTCAAACTTAGTTACAACGTCGCTAGTGTTCATAATCGCATGCCTCGGACCTTGGTGAAATTAGCCTACGCACGCATCTTAAATCAAAATACACCTTACATCCGCGTGCGAATCGCTTAGCCCGTTACGTGCCTATGTTAAGAGAAGTCTACTGTAGAGTTAGGTGTTGTGAGAAAACAAATTGAATTATTTGATATTAGTTGGTATATAGTAGAATACATCGAGGTGTTATGCAATGTATTAGTATTTTTTTATTTTCTTAAAAAAACCGTTACCCCCACACTATGATTTTCTCCTGTATCGTGGAGGCAGTTAACAGAATAGAATAGAATGATTTTTATTCAATATTGATTATTACATAATACTTATTGAAAGTCATTTTTTATTTACCACTGGTTCGGAAAATACCTCTGTCCTGGGAAGAACCAACAAGAAACCCAGCGGGACTTTTTTTTTTTAAACATATTTCACTTAACAATAATTTTGTTTATTTACTTTTTAAATGAATTTTCATAGAACCAGCATGTGGCATTACCTTATTCCCAGGGGTTATTTTCATTCATGTATTCCTTGATATTATAATAACCTTTTTTGTACAGTTTTTCTTTAATAAAACTTTTAAACTTGTTTATTGACAAACTTTGAACATGTTCTGGGATTTTGTTGTAAAACGTATACATTGCCCCATAAATTAATATACAAGCTTATGTTTGTTCCTAGTGTTTAAAGTATGAACATCCTTATTCTTATTAAAGCTATTTATGTTTTTATGTACATACATTACATTTTCATAATTTAGATATATGGGCATTGGGCATTGAAGTTTCGCGTCAATAGTAATACCAAGAAAAACAGTGGTATCCACAAGACTCAACTCCCCATTTAAGAGCACATTGGTATTCGAATGTTTTACATTAGGTATTGTAAATTTAATACATTTTGTCTTATTGCCGTTTAAAAGCAAATTGTCGTTAGTCGCTGAGACGCTGAGAATCTCAGCGACTTAGCATAATTTCGGTTATGTAAAGGTTATACAAAGTTGTAACAAAACCCCTTAAAAATAGCGCTACCGTTATTTTATACCGATTGCGTATCTGTGAATTTTCATCGCTTTCGGTCTACCTTTAAAAAATTGCGATATCAATATTTTGTACCGGTAGCTTCACCTCGTACCTTAACCGCAATCAATCCCTGATTCAGGCACAACACAGATACAGATACAGATGATAGCTCATTATTAAACATCCAAAAATATCTTATTCCTTTGTAAAATACTTTTATTTATTAATGCGATTAATGGGAGTACCCTTAACCGACGAGCGTGTATGCGTTAATATATGGATGTATACGAGGCGAGAGAGGTGTGTCAGGATCGCGCCAAATGGAAGTCCGTAGTCTCTGCCTACCCCTCTGGGTGACAGCCGTGAGTGTTTGTATTGTTTTGTATTGTATATTATTAATTCTGTTACATCACGAGTTGAACAGCATGGCGGCTAGCGTTTTAGCGCGAAAATTTAAAACGATAAATTTTTTATAAAAAAAAAACTTTAAATAATCGAACAAAAAGAAGTGACAAGTAACTTTTCTAATTACTTTTGTGATAAATAAGTAATACAGGACACACATTGACTTTTTCTGTACTATGGGTATAAAGTATGAAAGCCAGTTTAATTGTCGCTCGCAGTGCTCAAATTGTGAAACACAAAGTTAGTGCTGGTGAATGAATATCGTGAAATGACTACATGTCTGAGAAATTTTAAATATTTCCTGGACATGGATTAGATTAGATAGATAGATTACGACGGACTATTTGATTTCTTCCGGCCCTATAGTGGCCATGGATCCTCTTCTGGCCAGTTCGTCTGCTGTATCATTACTCCTGGATCCACTGTGTCCCTTGATCCATTGCAGAGTCACATTATTGTGTTTACATACTTCATTTAGTCGTTGATGACATTCATATATTAGTCCTGAGTTCACCACATTGCAACTCAGAGCTTGTAGTACCGCCATGCTGTCAGTCAATATTCTGATAGTGAAGTCTTTTACCTTCCTGGCATCTATTGATATAGCCGCTTGGATGATACCTATACATTCTGCTTCAAACACTGTGTGTTGTGGGTACCCAGTGGTGTACATAATATGTGGATGTCGAGATCTTCCGAGAATATTCCAGATCCTGTACCTATATTTGTTTTGGAAACATCCGTGAAGATTCTAACTTTTCTTTTGGGTTTAAACCCTCCGGCTGGTTAGTTTCGTTTTTTTTTCTGGACACATTAAGTCCATCAAGTTTTAAAGAATTGGTAGCTCAACGGCATATATTCCCACTTTGTGTTTGTGTTTTAGTTAAAGTTTGCCTTGTAATGGCGGTTTTTCGTAAAAAGTCCATCCTCCGTTTTATTTCTTGTTGTCGTAAGAAGACATATAGGAAAGGCCAGATAAACCATACGGCCTCTGATGGATGGTAGTATAAGACAGTCTCATATATGACAGGCGTAAAATGGCAAGAACAAGACATATGTGTATTGTTATGGTTACGGTGGACTGTCACAGACTGATTAATGTATTTTAAGAGATGCCTTAGTAGTGTGGCCGTAGGAAGGAAAAAGGGAGATCTCCCGCCGGGTAAGGTGTTCTGCCTGGGGAGCGGCCAACGCTCCGAGTGGTAGTTCGGAGCTATTTATAATGCTTTAACTTCGGAATTTTGTTAGCGCGATTTAGGCTTCGATGTGTTTCGCTTGTGGCGCGACGACAGCGCCGCCACTGTAGATTTCGGAAAATTGTGTCTTCCGATGGATTCTACTAATATGATGGAATATAACAACGCATCCATAGCTACTCTTTGTTTAAAGTTGCTAGCTTATGTTTATATTGCGAGCTTTCTTATCTTTTCGTCTTGTGGGTGTTGTAAGAGGCTGCTATGGGAAATGCCAGAAAAAAATTATGGCTTCCGGTAGATGGCGGTGTAACAGTCGGTGTCAAAGGTCCAAGATGTTTGGTACTGCGATCGTCAAGCCGCCTGCCAGGCGTGACGATTAAGGCAAATCTTATAACGGGAGATGCCTATGACTGTTACGAACTGATGAATAAAAAGAATTAAGTTAATAATTACTTTAGTTATATCCGTTTAATGAAATAAAATTATGTGTCTTACCTAGCTTGAAGAGTACCTCCCGTCCCGCTTCCATTGCGTGCATTATCCCCGCCATTACACTGGGAAAGACACACCACCGTCGATAATACGACACGTGTTTCGCCTCTACACGAGCCATACTCATGTGAAGTAGACTCTGCGGTGGCTGACCACTACCTTAATAGTGCACGCAATTGAGGGAGGGTGGTATGAATGAATGAATGAAATATACTTTATTGTACACCAAAAAATACATATGAGAAAAAAAGAACATAATTTATTTAAAGGTACAATTGGCGGCCTTATCGCTTAGGAGCGATCTCTACCAGGCAACCATTGCAGAGGATAAAATGACCTGTGAGAAAGGGTAAGGGTGTACGTAGGTTGTTGGAAAATACACACGACATATATAATAATTATATAATCAATAAATACATACATGCTATAATAAATAAATACATTTTAAATACTTACAAAAAAATATACGTACATATACGAGAGCAGAAAGGATTAAACAAGTGAAGTCAAAGCCTAAACGTAAGGAAAAATGAGTAGGTAGTAATTTTTTAGAGGAATGACTATTTAAGGGGGAAAGAAGTGCGCTTTGGCAAGTTTTTTAAACTTATCCATAGACTGCGCACTTCTAATGTGCAGCGGTAGGGAGTTCCAGAGCCTAACAGCTTCAACAGAAAAGGATTTAGAATAGAAGGAAGTGTTATGAGATGGAATTTTTAGGGTGAGGTTTTTATCAGAGCGAAGAGAGCGATAGTGAGTGTCACCAAGAAACTCAAACCGCTTTTTAAGGTAATTAGGGGAAGTGGGATTGAATAGTATACAGTATAAAAGAGAAAAAATGTGAGTATTCCTGCGAAGACGGATCGGAAGCCACTTGAGTTTTTCGCGATATTCGGAGACATGGTCATATTTTCGAAGTCCAAATATGAACCGTATGCAAAGATTCTGAATGCGCTCAAGTTTATTAAGCAACTCCTCATTTAAATTGAGATAACACGTGGCAGCATAATCGAGAATCGGTAAAAGAAGTGATTGTGCAAGCGCAATTTTGGTAGGTATGGGTAAAAAATTACTTAATCTACTGAGAGATCCGACCGACGCAAACACCCTCCTACTCACCTCGGTACGTGCTCTTCAAGCTAGGTAAGACACATAATTTTATTTCATTAAGCGGATATAAACAAAGTAATTTTTACCATCATTTATATAATGGTTTTCTGCAAAGTAACACCTGTTTCTATTAATTATAAATAAGAAGAAGATCCAAATGCTACAGCGGACAGTTGGCTCTTTTGTCATTCTGGTAAGTAAATAAAAATATGTTTATTTCAGAACATCGGACTGGAGCAGTTTATGCTGTACGCGCACGGCTCGGACCTGTGCCGCGATGTGGTGATGCGGCACGCCATGGCCAACTGCTTCGAGGCGCTCATGGGCGCACTTTTCCTTGACGCCGGCCTCGAGGTACTTTCCGTTCCAAGGTTATTAGTCGATTCAAACCTAATGGCGGAGTGCGACTTCTATCGAATAAGTGGTGACAAGTGAGCACACAGTCTACCTGATGGTAAGTGGATTCTGTGGCTTATAGATATCTACATTTTTGCTCAATTAAGAATCAAACTGCAGATGCAATATCACGCCTGAGGATTAAGAGGGAATGCCTCGTTTCCAGTAAAAAGGGTCTCCGGCACTCAACACTCACGCTACGAAAAAGCAGCATTAAGCTGCTATTTTACGCTGGTATTCTGCAAGACCCTGGTCGAGGCGAACCATTTGTTCTACAACCATAATATAGCTGCAGAGTGGCTCTACCACATCTAATATATAAATAAATGTGATAGATGTTCTTTTTATTTTTATTGATACTCTTTTTTGTGCACATATTGCACTTAAGCCTATAATATTATAGTTGTGTTAACTTGGTTTACACTAAATATTTAAAATTTTCCATTCTTTTTCTTAATACAACTATCACTTATAGCTATATATGTACCTAGAGTTTAAATGTATTTCATAATTTAAACTTGCGATTGTTGTCTTTTGGTGATACTTCATCTTCATTAATAAATATAACTGAAATAAGTACGTGTCAACGCAAATCACAAAAAGTGTTTTTAATAATAAAAAATTAAGGGTAACGATCTATAACAATTATTAATAGCTAAAATATTAACAAATTATAATAATTGAATAAAACTTCTTTTACGGATTCTATCGTGTTTCATTAACTTATTTCTTATTGATTTCCGACGTTACGGGATACTGTAATTAATAAAATTAAAACTAAACCCAAGCATACCACTGCAAGACTTAAAGACACAGTAAGCTCTTTCTGCGTAGATCGAACTAAAATTAACAATTAAAAACAAGCTGAAGGTACTCCAGGTTAACTCTGACATCGGGACGTCAATCACTTCAGTGACTGAGGCTCAGTCCCCCGTGACCATGGGTACTGTAAAGTACCCGAAACGTCGGGAATCGATAAAAAATAAGTAAATTAAACGCGATAGAATCCGTAAAAGTAGTTTTATTCAATGTGTAGTGTTATAATATAAGAATTCATTATGTAAACTATAATAAGTATGAACTCCACTGTACTTGATTTATAGCGCTCAAACGAATGCAGCAAGGTTTGCTATTACGCTAACTTCACAGCCACTATTAAGTTGTGATCTCACTATACGTTATGTTTGTCTTTGCGCACCTTGGCACTACTAAATCCGCGTCAGTTGGCTTTTAAAATTGTATTATTAATCAAGAAAAGAAAATTATAGCTGTAATCTTCGTCCATTTCCAAATTTGTATCAACAGAATAGATACAATTAAATTTATGTTAATTTGATACACAGGTCACAGATCGTGTGTTCACATTGTCTTTGTGGTATAATGAACCAGATCTACTGGAAGTATGGTCCAAGGAACGTTTACATCCATTGCAAGAACAAGAGCCGCTGGGCGACAGAAAATATATAAAAGATTTCGAGTTTCTTCATAAATTGACAGAGTTTGAAGAATCCATAGGTGTGTAAATTGCTCGTTAAATATTTTGATTTAAACTACTCAAATGCCTTATAGTAAGAAATACCTTATATCCAAATGCAACCTCATCTGCATATTGTGCGAAAAAGCCATCATATGCCTAACCTAAATCGTAAACATCGTTACCATTTGAGGCTATCGGATCTACGTCCATGTCTATCCGTCATCTATGATCTATATGATTCTTGAAAAGGCCATCAGTAAAATTTAGAAAAGCTTACAATATATTTCTCTAATATAGCTGAACAAAATGACAAAAAGACGACATTACAGAGCAAAAAATGCATTTAACGCACACAAAATAATTAAAATAAAAAAAAATATAAACAGACATCTAAAATACACTAAGAGTGTAAAATGATTTTTACTTTGAAATCGATTTTTTTGTGTTTTATTAGATTAAGACCTCTTTTAATGAGCTAAACCAAAGAGTATAGTAATATATAAGGAAGAAGAGAGCCCTCTTGCGAGTAAAACTGGTGCTCCTTGGAAACAGCGCCACCTGATGATTGTTACGCCAACTATAATATTTACTTGTGTGTGTGTATATACCAATTCACTCACACGAGAGCACTCTGTAAATGTGTGCGTGTGTATATGTACAATGCTCTTTGCCTACCCTCACATTCAATATTCTATATATTTTAAACTTATATTACTATTTCCATTCAAATTTTCTACGAATGTAGAAATTACATTCTACATTCGTAAAAAATTGTAATGGAAATAGCAATAAATGAATATAATAAGTACATATTGGAATTTATAAAAATTTAATAACGCAAAGCTTAAGAGTAAGATTAAAGTTAACAATTAGCTATGCATTCATACATAAGTAGAAAATTGGAATGGCACACGGTTAATTTAACCAAACAGAAATAAAACAATTATTTTCATAGAGATTTAAATATATTATTAACAGTTATTAGATACACAGAAATAAACTTGGGCACTCAATTTTAAATGATTATGGAATCATCTTAGAACACACCGTTTTCAGCAACCTATTATTATTCGTAAAACATTTTCATTAAGTAAAACGACTCTAATAAATCACCATAAACTAAATATTCACTGGCTAGTAACACCACACTTAAGTAATTGTTCTACGAAATACGAAATTAACTAAACCGACTTCAAACTTTTGAATTTGGCTTAGAAAAGTTAAACAAAACGAACTCGATTCACTTTGAAAATGGTTTGTAACATTCCCGTTTAAAATAATATCTAATTGATGAAAAATTAACTTTGAAACCTTTTCTTTTTTAATTTCATAAAAATATGTAATAATTTAGGTTATTTTTTTCGCACAGCAGATACAGATACATTTATATTTTCGGCTACAGAGATTGTAGTACAGACTAATCATTTCAATCGAACATAAATATAATCGGAACGTATAATTTATATGTACTTTATAAATCATGGATTAAACAACTTTTATTTGTCATGCATACATATTACAAAATATATAGTTTATAATTTATAAGATAAGTAAAAATAATTTTAATGGACAGGTGACAAAGATATTAAAGCCATCTAGTGAGTATTAAACTAACTAAACTGAGGAAATTATGACCCGTATCATACACTTGATGGCGTTACTTTCTATGACCAAATGCATTACTATGGAACTGTACCCCCCCCCCCCCCCCCTGGGCTAAACAATAGCACAACCTCGAGGTCGCAGTAATAGCAATGTCTGCACCAGAATCGATGAACTCTTTAAAGGTGTTCTTTATGGCTTTTTCGGATTTGACATTTTGGCCTATCAAAGAAGTGGAATTATGTTTGGCTAAGGTCTGGAGAATATGTTGGGGTGTGGTGGGCGGGAAAGGGTCTCTAGCTGTTAATGGCTTTAAAGCTCTGCTAATTTTGCCAGTATTTGTCGTTAACCTATCGAAATACTTTTAACGATCTAATATTGTTTTGACACTTACATCAAAAGCCGATGATAGTTCAGCAGTAGTTTGTGATGAATCCGCTTCCACCATCTCCTTCAGTTAGTCATTATCAACTGGAGTCAATGGTTATAATTTTTAATGGCTCATGAAAATGTTCAACTCTGGTAAACGGACACGCACGTTGTGAGTGTATGTGTGCGTGTATGCGTGCGTGCGTGTGCGTGCGATAATATGAAAAAAATATTTATTTTTACCTATTTTCCTATTTCATCACTTCCTGGAACTCCACACAATAAACTTCCTAGTAAGTTTATTATGTGCATTTTCTAAATTATAACATGTCAGTTGAATTTAGACCAAAAACTTTCCTGGCAGTCGCATATTGATCTCGTCGCGACTAGAACACGTAACATGCTGAGACATGTTGCCGACAAGAAACTTATCAACCAAGTATATATGGCATTAGCTCAACCCATATTAACTTACTGTCTGACAGTTTGGGGAGGGGCTCTAAAAACTAAATTTCTCGTGGTTGAACGGGCTCAAAGAGCGTTAATAAAGGTGATGTATTTTAAAAATCGTAGATTTGCAACACAAGCTCTATATTCCGTTGCTGATATCTTATCAATTAGAAAACTATATATTCTCCATACTGTAGTACAAAAACACAAGTCATTAAAATTTGATCCGAGCATATTGCATAAAAGAGACATAATAATGTGGCCACAGTTAAACTTACTCATACTCAATTCGCAAGAAATCAATTTCAATATTTGTCATCGTTATTATACAACTGCTCCAATCAAAATTTAAATCTATATCCAGTGACCAGCAGGGAATGTACAATAAATTTGACTGTTTGGCTTAAAAAACTACAATACACAGAAACTGAACTTCTTCTTAAATGATAATTTTATCTAGGTATTGGATATTTGGATTAAAAATCATACACACATACGCACACATCCATGCAATTACGCTCACACCCACACACACACACATCCATGCAATCACGCTCACACACACACACACACACGCGCATGCGCGCGCACCCACACACACACACACGCACGCACGCACGCAAACAAAATATATACATACACTCGCACATTGAAATACATTTTTGTGACTACGCGTAAATATATATACATACATATATATATATATATATATATATATATATATATATATGTTATATATGTTATATATTATATATATATGTTATATATATATATATATATATATATATATATATATATATATATATATATATATATATATATATATATATATATATATATATATATATATATATATGATTCTTCATTTATACTCGTAAATACCACAAATGTGATATGGAAGAGTGGCTCCTTCTGACACAGGTGCAAATGCACTTAAACAAACTTTGTTAAAGAAATAAACTTTTATTGTAATTATTATAATTTGAGGGCAATTATTTCAGGCGTACAGTTTAAGCACATTCGCTTGCTGGCGCGTGCCTTTACCGACCGTTCAGTCGGCTTCACTCACCTAACGTTGGGTTCCAATCAACGCCTGGAGTTCCTTGGAGACACGGTGCTGCAACTTGTCGTCTCTGATAGACTTTATAGACATTTTCCCGATCATCACGAAGGACATTTATCAGTGAGTTATTATTTTTTCTTTTTGAAATGACATTTGTTTTTGTATTGAAAATCTCAGTAATTGATTATTTAGGCCTGAACAGGGATTCGAACCCGGGTCCTCATGGTCAGCAGTTCTGTTTACTGCTAGATCAACGAGACAGCTAATCTGTCGCATACGTAGTACATAGACAGTCTACGCACATATGCTGCGTGTACTGTGTTATTACGTAGCAAAGGCAACCAGTAGACGCTTACGTATTATATTGTACATTAGCTGAACATGTTTTAATATTTTATAATTCATGATTGCCACAGTTGCCACGCCTGGCAGGCGTCTTAGTTTTTATTTACCGCAGTTTTATTAGTATTTTCAGTTGTCATCTCTGTCTATTTCATTTACCTCTGACGCTTCTTAAGACATCCATAGTACCATATGGAAAGTGGAATCTCTTATAACGCAACGACACGGCATTTCCTAGTTTTTTTTTTTTAGTTAATATTCGTAATTTATTAGCTGATGCTCGGCGCGTTGCTGCCGCAGAATAAATAATTGTGGAAAGATTGTTTTAAATTTGGAAGAATTAATTTGTTAAATTAGGAATGATTAAATATATTTATGGAAATTGAATGATATATAACTTTCAAATAAATTTGTCGGTACGATACGCGCGCCACCTAATGTAAGTTAATTGTACTATTCCTATAACCTTGCGCACGTGCAAGCGATAAGTTGAAATTTTTTTACCGTAATCTGATGAACTGTATGTGCAGTGCTTAAAATACGAACAAACAAACATTAACTTTTATATATTAGATTTATAAGTTTCACTTCTACGTGTGAGAGATGCGCATTCTTAAGTATATTAAGCTTAATTTTGTTAATGCTAGAAATAACGGTTAGTGATTTTGCCGGGTACTCAAAATTAAGGGATAACGAATATTCGGCCGTAGAATATCCGTCCTAATATAAAATTATTTTAATAGTGTAAATATTTAAGTATTAAAAATGTCAATTCAATCTTTTGTTACTCTATGGCAGTTACTTCGTTCGTCGTTGGTAAATAAACGTACGCAGGCGATGGTGTGCGATGACCTAAACATGTCAGCGTATGCGATATACAACAACCCTAAAGCGAAACCCACCACTAAGAAGCACAAGGCTGATTTACTCGAAGCATTTTTGGGAGCATTGTTTATTGATAAGGTGAGTTTTTTTTTAAATGTTTATGAATCAAAATGCAGATGCGTTGCCACCCCCGAGGACTAAGATGGAATGCCTCGTTTCTAGTAAAAAGGGTCTCCAGTTCTTTACACTCACCATACGAATTACAGCAGCGTTGAGCTGCTGTTATACGCTGGTATTCTGAGAGCGTGACCCTTCCCCGGTCCAGCTGACCCATTCGTGTTACAACCATAATATAGCTCCAGCATGGCTCTACCACGTACAGATTCCCTTTTTACTGGAAGAAGGCCCTTTTTACTGGAAATGAGGCATTCCATCTTAGTCCTCACGGGTGACAACGCATCTACATTTTGATTTGTAACAGAGGATAGATGTAGATGTCTATGGGCCGCAGCAACCACATACCATCAGGTGGACTGTGTGCTCGTTTGTCACCCTTATCCTATAAAAAAAAAAAAAAAAAGATTCTTTGTTCATTATTTTAACTAATAAAGTATTAAAATAAATAACAGCATAATATAACATATGGACAGAGGACCACTCGTCTCAGGCGAATGGTGATGACTTAGTTTTAGGGTAGGGTAGAGTCTGCCGTGTTGGTCCAATACCTTTTGGTGGCCCTCGAAATGTTTTTTAATTTCTTAGAGATTGAAGTTTCCTCGCTATGTTATTCTTAAACCAACACTAAAAATTGCAATAAACAATTACATTGGAAATCGCACTCGGTATATTTGCATTGTAATAGTAGTAGCCATGAATACTGGTTTATAATAAATAAAAAAAAAATACCATGAAATTTCAAGGCAAACGTTTTTCCCCTATGCTACCACTGCTTAAATTCATGTCGCAAGATAATTCTAAGCGATATAGGTGGGTTTTTGTATCTTTCACTTCACCGACTGGTTCGGGATTATGTTAAAAGAAATCTCTGTCGGAGTTGGATTCTTTGCTTTACATTTGACAGTGACGAGCTGGTTATAATCCTATCTATCTCAGGACATGAAATCCTAAAATTTCCTTCAGTATATTCGTAGAAGTCGGTTCGTATAACTTTACCAAATATTTTAGATGTATCTATTTTGCTGCCTCTATACAATTAAAAATAGTTATCTGAATTGGGACTATATAGCCTTTAATAGTCCACGGATATAGATTTTTCAATAATAAGGAGGATTTGATGCAATTGCCACGCTCAATACAGGAGTGATATTTGCCATAGTTGCCACGTATGATCAGCGGGTTAGCAACATCTTTGAAAGTACACATGAATACGTGCACTTTCAAAGAAGGCTTTGCAGTTGCATGCTATGCAATGGAAACTAAGGTCCGTATTAATAAACGTTACTCAGCTCAAGTACTCGCACTTGAGTACGATCTTGAGGTTATGATCTTAGTACTAAACATATCTCACATACATACATGGATCTTTTGCAAGAAGCCAGGAAGGTTTGACGCAATCGCCATCAATATATGAATTGGTGCTTGCAGTGTCAACTATATGTTTGTACCTTTGTCACTGCTAGCCATTCGATCTATTTATTTTATATCTGGTGTATGGTAATTATACAACCATCTATGAAAAAATAAGGTGACAAGTCTCTTTCGCAGCTATCGCACGTTGAATTTGAAATTTCTAATAATTTATTACAGAACCTCGAATACTGCCAAGCTTTTTGCAACGCATGCCTATTCCCGAGGTTGCAAGAGTTTATTCTGAATCAAGACTGGAACGACCCCAAGTCCAAACTGCAGCAATGCTGTTTGACGTTAAGGTCCATGGAAGGAGGAGAGCCTGATATACCATTGTACAAGTATGTATTATTGATTTCAATTTGAATGAAGTTATGCATAGAACTTTTAAGCAACGCTTAATTAAAGGTTTGGCACTTATACCTATTTAAGTAGAAAACAAAACTGTAAAATAGCACATATGTCGTTGAGAGTCATGAGATGAAAGATGTCATTTTTCTCTCTGATGACAAAGGTATCTATACAAATAAATAAAATTGAAGTGTCTGTTTGTAATGTTTTAATAACAGCTTTTTAATAAATGGATATGAAACGATATATGGTACTTACAACAAAAACACAATTTTTTAAATTTTTGTCTGACTGTCTGTTTGTTCCTGGCTAATCTCTGAAATGGTTGGACCGATTTCAACGGGAGTTTCATTGGCAGATAGCTGATGTTATAAGGAGTAACTTAAGCTACTTTTATTTTAGAAAAAGAATTAGGGTTCCGTGCGTAAATAATGTAATTTTAAATTTCTTCAAAAAAAACGTAATTTTTAAGATCAGTCTATGGGTGCTATAAAAAAGCTTTAAATATGTATGCAAAAATTTTTATTCAATTTAGTTTTTGTGAATGTACACTGCTTATACTATGTACAGTGGTTCGGAAAACGAGACCTTCTCAGAGAAGAGAACCGGCAAGAAAATGTGGTCATTTTATTAAATGCCAAATTTCAATTTTAATAATTTACCAGCAGCTAACTTGCAAAGTACAGATGGAGAGTTATTCCTAAATCATTTTTCTCAATGTATTGATTACTTTTATGTCAGGCCTTAACAAGTTTTTTAAATTCTATGTCAGGATGTTGCACTATATTTTCTTATAAAAATTTACCCTCGTGCTGCGTCATTACTCATTCAGAGAAGGTTTTCTACTTTTTTAATTTTAATTTAAAAATCTTTATTACCATAATTGTACTACCTCTACAGGAGACAGTAAAAGTAAAGTGACAGCCTGATACGATTCCGTCGCAGGGCGGACCTCGCATTTTTGAGAGGGTAATGGGACGAGTTCGACAGTTGTGTCCAGTGTGTGTTGCTGGCCGTTTATGAGGAACATGTTTTGAAAATATTTCGCGGCGAAATTAAAAACTTTATGCGCAATTTCTGCGCTAAACTTCATTTCCCCATGTAAATTATATTCCGTGAGTTCTTCCAGAACATGGTCTATATGTGTGATAAATTTATCCAAAATCTTTTGGCCGGTTATACGTTAAACATCCGAATATCTTCATAACCTTTCACATATATTATATTAGTACAGATATCACTACGATTCAGTTTTGTTTACAATGATTTTCCTTCACCCCCAATAGTGTGGTTTAAATTTTAAATGAATATTATGCATATCATTCCGTGGGTGTCGTAAGAGGCGACAGAGGAAAATAAATCAGGAGATAGTCTTCCTAATATCGACTAAAAATAAAATAAAAACTGGAGTGGACAACCCGTTTGTCACGAAATATGACAAATATCCCCCTCTATGCGGCAATCTATGGAGGAGGCCTTTTAATAGGTTATAACAAGGTAATGGAGGAATATTATAGTATATAGTATCACACAACACAGTGCTACCTAGTGTACTCATAGTAGTAATTTGGGATCATAGTTGTCACGGAATGTGTGTTGTTTATTGAAAATTTTATTCCAAATAATATAAATAATACAGAGATAATATTTCAGGATAACTATTTCATAGTTTGTGTTCGAACCGAGATTGATCCTCGCTGACTTTATCGAGATTATTAAGTTGCTTAAGTTAATTTATTATGTGCCCCACGGTGAAGCAAAACATAATAAGGAAAACATGAGAAATTAAAAAAAATATATATATTTTAAAGTACACAAACACAAATTAGTTCAGCGCTGCGACCCTAAAATAGAGTCCTGTGACCAGCGGTGGAAAGCTTGCAATGTTATATTGTTTATATTTGAATGTAGGGTGATCGAGTGTCTGGGCCCGACAAATACGCGCGTGTACACCGTCGGAGTTTACTTCCGCGGGACGAGGCTGGCCGCTGCGCGCGGACACTCCATACAGGAAGCGGAGATGAACGCTGCTGATCTTGCTCTTCATTCTGCGCACGGTAACACGCTATTGCATCGAAACCATCCATCTGCTATAGTAAATAATACAGGCGGCTTGCAAATATATTGGGTTGCCATGGTATTGAGGCTCTCCATCTAAGACACACGTTATATCTAAGGTCCAGCTAAGATAATATTATCAAAGGTGGGGGGAGTTGTATATATAATCGATTATAGGCTAAAGGTGACAAGCGAGCACACAATCCACCTGATGGTAGGAGGTTGCTGTGGCCATAGACATCTATATCTATCCTCGTTTGCGTCAGCCGTGAGGACTAAGATGGAATGCCTCTTTCACTCTACACTCACCATACGAAACACAATAGCATTAACCTGCCATTTTACGTTGGTTTCTGTGAGAGTGTGGATCTTCCCCGATCGAGCCGACCCATTCGTGCTACAACTATACAATTAATATAGCTGCAGCATGACTCTACCACGTTTTGTTTGTTATTTTACTAATATGTTAATACTATACGTTGCTGCTATCAATATTCTATGTAACGAATGCGAGAAGATTTGTTCGGAGACCGAATGTTTTTGGCATTTCATTAGTCTTAAAGAAAAGTTATCATTTTACTGTCCCGTGAGTCATAATATATGAACATTTCGATTGTTTGTTTATTGCGTCTTTTTCGCGGACAAAGTAAATTGTTAATAGCCTTGTTTGACTTAGATAAGGACATTATTTAATTTTAATTGAAAGCCGTTTATCTTTAACCTATTCTACCGACTTCATAAAAGGAACCTCAATTCGCCGAAATATTGTTTTCTTTAGTTCTAGCTATAATTCTTACCATGTGCGATTTCAATGTTCCTCGATTTTTTGTTAAAAAGGTGGTGGATGGGACCACCTTAGAAGTGGTCCCATATATATTTGTTCTAGATTAGATTATGAGATCAATGAGTAAATCATAAAGCTCTTTAATTTGCAAAGGCAGATTTTTTTTATAGGATAAGGGTGACAAACGAGCACACAGTCCACCTGATGGTAAGTGGTTGCTGCGGCCCATAGATATCTACATCTATCCTCTATTATAAATCAAAATGTAGATGCGTTGTCACCCGTGAGGACTAGGATGGAATGCCTCATTTGATTGAAAAAAGATTGCACGACATATGGACGAATAATTCTTAAACTACATGAATCAATTTCAATTATTATATTCTTTTTACTTCTTTGAAAACGGTTTTACTTTTTAAAGTTAAATTATACAATATTCTACATCAATAAGTACTTCGTGATCTAGCATGTTGATACAAAATTATATATTATTTATTTTATCATACAGAATTATTCCCACAATTGGACCACCAGAAAAGAGTGATTGCAAAGAGCGTTAAAAAGAAGAAGAAGCGAAAAGACGGACGGGGAGAAGCATCCACTTCAGATAGTGCTGCGATTCTAAAACGGAGCCGCTTAGAAGATAGAGTACCAAAGGCCTACAGACTCGACAAGAATAAAGATAGCTCTGATGATGATAACAGCGTTCGCGAGCACGTCTCTGAAAATGAGGAAACACGTAGCAATGAAGACAAGTCCGGTGATGACTCCGGTCTTGTTAGCGACACAGAATCCGTCCAGCTGGACAAGTTGGAAAACGTGCAAGTTAGTAGTCTCTTGAGCGAGATGGAAAAGACGAAGGAAGAATTTATAAAGCGAAACGAATACGAAAAATTAAAAGAAAAATGTAGAAAATCAGAATCAGATGACGATTAAATTTATTCTTATAAAACTGTGTAGATATCAATATTATAAGTAAACTATATTATTCTTGTAGGTAAACTATATATGTAAGTAACTATAATAAGTATAGGTTTAAATTGACACACTTTTTACACATTGACATTAACTTCATAACATTGATGACAAAGCGTGCGTAGTTTATATTTTTATAGAGCTTATTATTATTATAATATTATTAGAGCATTTTTTTGAAATATTAGGACGTAAATAATGCCAGCTTGATTTCTCAAGTAATGTGATAAGACAAACCCTTAAATGTTATATACATACTATAAAATTCGTATAAAATATATTGCTTATGCATTCGTTGTATGAAGGAAGTGTTATGCCACAACCAGTTTTGCGATAACATAAATTAAATCATTTAATGAAGAAAACAAAGATCAAACCTTACAAAGATTATCATTTTCCATATAGGTAGGGTCAACATTTTATTGCAAATGTTAGGAACTAAAGATCATTTAGAAACAGCTAATCCTATTTGACAGTCAAATCCAACTAGTTGTGTAAAATATATTTAAAAATTTAAATTTCATATAAATTTACCATTTGTAAATATTTATGCTCATTGTTGCTATTTAAAAATCATAAATAAAACATTAAGAATGTTTTTTAATAAATCTCTTTATGTGATTTGGAGTTTTTTCTACCGACTTCAAAAAGGAGGAGGTATTGATTTCTTATATTTACGCAAACACTAGACATTGAATAAAACTATTTTTTACGGATTTTATCGCGTTTAATTTACTATTTTAATTCCCGACGTTTCGGGTGCTTTACAGCAACCCATGGTCACAGGGGGAATTGAGATGTTTGACGTCCCGATGTCACAGTTAGCCCGGCTACCTTCTGTTTTTTAATATTAATTTTTGGTTCGATTTACGCAGAATGAACTTACAGTATCTTGAAGTCTTGCAGTGGTATGCTTGGGTTTGGATTTAATTTTGTTAATTATAGGATCCCAAGCAGATGGCAGCCCCCATCCATCTTCTCTATTGAAATTAGGATGTTTTTTAATTTCAATAGCCTCGCGTATCATCCTTGGTAGGAATCGGTGTTCTTTTGCGAGGATTTGTGGTCTATCAAATTTGATGTAATGGCGGGGACGATCTTGAACATGTTCACAGACTGCAGTCTGTGAACATGTTCAATGTTACCTCTTAACTCTCTTCTAGGTGAACCGATTTCGATGATTCTTTTTTTATTTGCAAGCTGATACTTCTCATGTGGTCCCATATAAATTTAATCAAGGTCTGACCATTAGTTTTTGAGTTATCCTTAATAATTTATATTGAAGTCGTTTGTACAAAATTTTAAATTGTTTAAAATAGTTGATCAGATCCGAAGACCCCGCCCCTCTAATCGCCGCGTGCGTCTGAAGTGCGATGAAGCACATCGGCTATAGTCAGTTGTAAAAATGCGAAACCTGCCTACGAGTATTTGAAATTCTCTTACTCTATCGTTTACTCAATAGTTGTTTTCCAATATATACATAAGAATTTTTTTTAATGGAAATATTAGATGCGCTTGCTTCCCTTTTTGTTGAGGTTGTTACGTATTTAGTATCGAGTATTTACGTGTTCACAATTTATGAAACGATGAATAAATTATAAAAGATTTAATAAAAAATTATTTTTTATTCAATATAATAAACAACAAAGGGTGAATGAGATGGGGCAGTTGAAGTTATTTGCGCGTAATGTGAGCCACTGCTTCTGGTTCGGTACGTACATCTCCGCCGGCATCAGTTGCTCGGAAGTATCGTTTTCTGTAAACATGTAAGTGAAATTTAAATTATTTATATAAATAAATAAATACCTTATGTATATAAATAAATGAATAGAGCCAAAATATAGGGTTATTCATTATTTGACTTAGCCGCTTATTGAATTACAGAAGTTCTAAGCTTTGCACCTTTATTGATATTAAGTTTCAAATGAATACACCTTTAGTACTAGATTTAACGATGAAACTAAAATAAACTGGTCCCTGATTTATGATATTATACTGTATTAATAGCTCATAATTGACATTTTTTGTTATTAACTGACATGGTATATAATATTGTTTAATTTAATTTTCTTTATTTATTAATTATATTTTTTTTATAATTGTACTTTTAATATTTTTAGGATATGATTGGATGAATTGTTTGTTGTTGCTAATTTCATGATTTAATAATGATTGATTTTGATGTGTTACTTATGTATAATTTTATAAATTCTAAGAATAAATAAATAAATAAAAAAGTAGAAAGTTGAGTGCGTAATAAGCTATGTACTTGGCGGAACGCTGCGTACTTGAAATGTACGCAGCATTTCGTCTTTTTTCTTTCTGAGTTTACACCAAAAGCATCATATAAATAGAGAAAAGTATTATGTTTTTGGGCATATATATAAAATATGCAGATATTTTTAGTTTACAAACACACTCCGGGAAGTTTAGAACCTCTGATGATCGAAATATTTTTATTTCTATTTTGTTATAATTAATTCAGCGTAGTTTAAACTTTATAAACTAACTCACCATCTTTACGAACGTTTTTCGCAGACTGAGTCGTTGACTCTTGCATCGATATCAAGTCGCCAGGAGCGTGAAGCAAAAGTCTACCCACGCCTTCGCATCTCCTTTAATGTATAAATTTAGGTATATTTAATATTAGTAATGGTAAATTCGGTTTTCCCATTATAATCTCCTTTTATTACCCGTGGAGATTTAACAATATTCATAACTTTTCCCCGGGGTTTCATCTATAATTCCTTATCATAATTAATTTTTTATTTATTTTATATTCCAGACATATTTTAGTCCTCTTTAACTTCACTAAAAAATCCTAAAACTATACTATCGGATTTCATATAAGGGAGGATTTGTCTTTTTGCCACTATTGGAGGACAGATTGCGGAAGAGAATTCTCGCAGCATTGGATTTGCTTCCGTGAGACTAACAACTTCAAATACAAATGCCAATCTCCAAATGCTAATTATAAAGAGGCTCTAACGATCGTTAAATGGAAGCATACAAATTCGAAACTGTCGATCCTACATCTCACAATTTGGTGTTGGATTTCTCCCTGCATCACCAATGTAAGAATATTGGTTCTGTGTTCTTACTCAGCAGCCCAGCATATGTATGGACATTTTGCTAATAAAAAGGCCACGGAATACTCTTACTCAAGTTCTTGTAATGAAATCATTTTTTTTAACAAAACTATTCGATTCGAAGTAAGTTCATGTCAATAATATTAAGAACTTAACCGGTGGACTTAATTCATTCATTTATATCTATCATAGGTCCACTCCTGTATATGATATACATCCCCCAAGGAATGCCACAAAACACGGTCTTAAGCCATCTGCATCCAACGACTTTCTGCATCTCCCACGAAGTCGTCACACCATCCCGTGCGTTGTCGCTGTAAATTTCGCTTTCCGATTCGTGATACGAGACTGTTATTCGAGAAACTTATGGTCGGCTCATTGCTACTGCTTCCTTACTAATCGTTAGCCTGTATCGGTCCCCTGGTTATTCTTTTACTTTTTAATTATCTTCATTATCGAATCCTATCACAGAGAAACACCGAGCATAGCTTGCTGTGTGACCAGGAGCTGTAATCTATGGCCAGCGTTGAAGGACAACGTCTCTTATAATTCATCAGGTGGACTAATTATTAATGCGAACAAAGAATTCGGTGTAGCTGTAGCGTAAGATAATTCATTTATCTCAACAATAGGACAAAATATATTATAGTAATTCACCTCAAAACCTCATTCTGCAACATTTGTTTCCTAGTGTCGACGGAGAGTTCCTTGCAATCGGTAAGCCAATTTCGAACTTCATTAAAATCAGCCAGGAGTTGCAGGGCTGCATCTTTTCTAAAAATAACTGTTATTGAATAAAACTTATTTTAACCGACTTAAAAAAATGAACGGGTACACAATTCGACTGTATTTTTTTGGGTGTTACCTCAGAACTTTTTCTAGGTGAACCGATTTTGATGATTCTTTTTTATTTGAAAGCTGGTGCTTCTCATGTAGTCCAATATAAATTTGATCAAGATCTTACTAGTAATTTTTAAGTTATTCTTAATAATTCCTATTTAATTGACGTCGACTACACTACTTTTTTATAGGATAAGGGTGACAAACGAGCACACAGTCCACCTGATGGTAAGTGGTTGCTGTGGCCCATAGACATCTACATCTATCCTCTATTACAAATAGATGCGTTGTCACCCGTGAGGACTAAGATGGAATGCCTCATTTCCAGTAAAGAGGGCCTCCGGCCACCTGCACTCACCAAGCGAAACGCAGAGGTAAACCTCTACTTCACGCTGGTTTTCTGTGAGGTCGTGGTACCACCCCGGTTCGAGCCGGCCCATCCGCGCGACAGCAAAAGCTGCCGCGTGGCTCTACCACTGTTAAAAATTTATTTTGAAGTCTGTTGTACAAAATTATTAATTTTCCCATTTGTACTAATTTTAAGGAGATGCTTGACATCCCGATGTAACCTTAGGCCCCGTCACTATGGGTGATGCAAAGCACTCTTAATGTCGGGAATATAAGTTAAACTCGATTAAATTCTTGAAGCTACTTTTTAGCATCGTGTTAATATAATATACGTAGTAGGGCCTTGCTGCTATATATTAAAATTAACAAGCAGTCTTAGTTCTGCAGCATATGCTGTAAAAAAGATTAGAAATCTTACCAGTGTGGAAATAGATAGACTTGTTTACTTTAGCTATTTCCATAGCATTATGTTGTATGGTATTTTGCTATGGGGACACACGACTGACTGAAACTGAAATATTATATTTGTTTTACGTAAGAAGGCCATAAGAGCAATCTATGATTTAAAACCTAAAGAGTCGCCCCGACAAAAATTTAAGGAAATTAATGTCTCAATACATTTATGAAAATGTAATGTACGTACACAAAAATGAAAGTAGTTACTCGTATACAAAAATAAGTGATATTCATTCTGTAAATACTAGGGACAGACACAAGCTAGTAGTCACTCGACTCCACCGAGTCAGTAATTCATTCTTGGGGGGATGTATACGCTTTTACAACAAAATCCCCGAAAAAATACAAAATTTGACCTGCTCAAAGTTAAAAAAAAATCTTTATTAAAGAAAGTTTGTATAAAAATGGTAATTATAATATTAAGGAATTTACTTCTAATTTGTTTTGTGTGGTTAATTGTGTAACATACATGACTGTAAACAGTTTACAATCATGTATGTTTACTATTTAAAAAAAAGTCCTGCTGGGTTTCTTGCTAATTCTTCCCAGGAACCGGGACAGAGGTTTGTGGAGTCGAGAGACTTTTATATCTAGCTTGTGTTTGTTTCTAGTGTTTACAGAGTGTATATCACCTTTTTTACCATAACTATCTTTGTTTTTTGTGAACATATATTAAATTTTCTTAAATATACTGAGAGGCCAAAGTTAATATATTTATTTCTTTAAACTTAACTCTAAGAGACTCCGTTTAAGGTTGTAAATAGCTCTTATGGCCCTCTTCTGCAAAAGAAAAATAGTTTCTAAATTAGCCGCATTTCCCCATAGCAAAATCCCATAAAACATTATGCTATGGAAATAACTGAAATAAACTAATCTAGCTGTCTCGACACTAGTGAGATCTCTAATCTTTTTTACAGTATAAGCTGCAGAGCTTAGTCTGCTTAAAAGTTAGTCACAGCTTATATACACGTCCCACTGCTGGGCACAGGCCTCCTCTAATTTCTGAGAGGGTTTTAGGGCAAGGAAAGGTCCGCCGCGCTGCCCCAATGCGTGATGGCGAACTTCACATGTCTTCGAAATATATATATTTTTCTTATCTGTCAGACATGCAGGTTTCCTCACGATGTTTTTCCTTCACCGCCGAGCACGTGGTAAATCAGCACTTAAAATTGCAATTAACAACTTCATTGGTGCCAGCGGGGATCTAACCCGGGTTTCTCGCGTACTGTGAAACTTACAGCAAGCGCTAACCATCTGAGCTACCACGGATCTAGTCTGCTTGCTAGTTTGGATATATGGGGGCCCCACTGAAGCTTTGCGTCAAGAATGATGCCAAGAAAAACAGAGGATTCAACAGGGTTCAGTTCTTCCCCATTTAAAAACACATTGGTATTCAGTTTTATAAAATTCGTTGTTGTAAATTTAATACATTTAGTTTTATTGCCGTTAAATGCAGATTATTAACGTTAAATAATTTACAATAAGTCACATTTAAATGATAGACGTTTAAGTTTAAAAATCAAAGAGGTATCATCAGCAAATAATACTAAATCATGATTATCCCGTACAAGCGAAGGTAAGTCATTAATATACACTAAAAATAGAAATGGGCCAAGAATCGAGCCCTGAGGGACACCCATCTTTACGGACGATCCGGAAGAACTTTTCGCATTGGTAATAACTTTCTGCATTCTATTACTTAAATATGAAATAATAAGTTTAAGCGCTGTGTTCTTGACATCATACTACTGCTTATCAGCTTCATTTATCAGCTTCCTGATAAATGTCTCATGGTGAACACAGTCGAAGACCCTGGACAGGAATTCTCCCATGCACAAAACATATGTTTTATAAGTTCGACTCCGGCGTCGGTAGTCGAGTGACCCCTTGTAAAACCAAACTGATTTTTATGACGCAATTTATTTATATTCAAAAAACTTAACATCTGATCTAAAATAAATTTTTCAAAATTTTTACTTAATGTTGGTAGTACAGAAATTGGTCTAAAATTGTAATGTTTACTTTAGAGGTTTCCGCTGTTCCAGTTGGAACAAATATGTTTCATTTTAGAGTATTTTACTATAAAATACGAAATGTATAGAATATATTTATATTATACAGGGAAACGTTTTATATTTTATTTTATACGTGGTAGAGCCATGCTGCAACTGTATTAGTAGTATAGTTGTAGCACGAATGGGTCGGCTCGACCGGAGAAGGACCACGCTCTCACAGAATACCAGCAAAAAATGGCAGCTTAACACTGCTGTGTTTCGTATGGTGAGTGTAGAGATCCGGAGACCCTTTTTACTGGCAAAGAGGCATTCCCTCTTAGTCCTCACGGGTGACAACGCATCTGCATCTTGAGTCTTTATTGACGATAGATGTAGATGTCTATGATGGGCCACACCACTTACCACACCCTTGTTTGTCACCCTATCCTATAAAAAAAAAACGAAGGCTCGACGATAAGGGCTACAGAGGACGTATCGATGCTACCGTTCGATTTAACTCTAGTAACGCTTCAAAACTATTTCTATATTATATTGTATGCTGTATTTTCTGCTATGTCGTTGAGGGGTTTTACATAAATAAATTGCACAATAACAAACATCCAGACCAGGAACAATTGTTTGTAGATCATATAAACCCTTGTTACGTGCCGGAATTAAACTCACAGCCCCGCACCGCAGCACTACTTCGTTAATGCGTCGTCAGATTAAAATTAAGTCTTAATTATGGGGTTATTAATGCTAGCTATCCAAATTCAAATTATAGAGGTCCACTTAAAGAGCCACGTTCAATTTTATTTTGTAGTGACTGGGTCGATCTTACAACTTCTAAATCGTAACAATTTACTTTCATAGTTCACCGAGCGAGTTTCAGATTATGAACTAATATTTGTGTTCATATTCGTCACTACATTATATCAATTTATGTATTAAATCGATCCTTTCATTGTTATTGTCATAAACAAAAATAATAATTATAAAAATATATACCAATATACTTACGTAAACTTAACTTTGGCAACATATATGTGATGCAGCCATGACTCGCACATGATTCTCAAGATCATATTAAGAGCAGTTGTATCATCTGTTGCCTTTATTACAGGTAGCAGCATTTTATCTGAATGTAAATAAAAGCATTGCATTAATATCTATTGTTTAGTTATTGCTATATCTAAATATAAAAAAAAATGCATGATTGTCGTGGAATATTCGGTTGGAACGAAGTTCCTTTCGTAGTATATTATTATTGATAAACGTATTATATTATTGATTAACAAATACAAATAAATGAATTACTAGCGTCTATTAAAATGAAGCGTCATTTGAAATAAAATAATATTTCTTTCATGACAAGATAAGAAAAAGTGCGAGGGAGATGGATATTATTCCATCTCGCTCACACTATACACCTCGGTCGGGGTCGTGACGGAAAAATCTTACACTTTTTCCCGCCTATCCCCCATCCGTCAAATTCATATCGATAAAGAACTTCGTTCCAAAAAAACTAACACATTGAAGGAGTTAATATGGTCATGAAATTTTCTTTATATAACTTTGTGCTTTCATTTATCTTTTTGAAATGTTTTTCTTTACTATTTTATATTTGTAACGTGGTAGAACCACGCTGCAGCACAAATGGGTTGGCTTATCTGAGAAAAGACCACACTTTCGTAGAATACAAGAGAGAGAGAAATAGGTGCACAATGCAATGCTACTCTGTTTTGTGTGATGAGTTAAGAGAACCTAGATCTTTTTTACTGGTAACGAAGCATTCTATCATAGTCCTCAGGGGTGACAACGCATTTGCATCTTCAAGGACAGATGTATGTAGGTGTTTATGGACCAAAGCACCCGCTCACTATCAGGTTTTGGTTCAGGTATACATCTTACTTGTCTTTATTTTTCGAATGTCAACTATTAACAACTTAAACAAGGTATACCTAAAGAGCTGGTCAACCTTTTCCAATTCTGGTAAGATCATCAAATTAACCAGGTCAGGTGGTTGGGTGTATTGTCTGAGACGTATGGACGGGAGTGTAGAGTGAGACAGGGTGGTCTGACTTCCCCGGCGCTCTTTAGCCTATACATCAATCAGTTGATCGAGGAGCTTAGCAGCACCGGTATCGTATGCAGCATTGACGGCAATATAATAAATAGCATAAGTTATGCAGATGATATGGTGGTGCTGAGTCCCTCGATTGATGCATTCAGACATCTGCTTGAAGTATGTGAAAGATGCGATTTGAGCGAGCGCTGTCTCATGTCCTCCTATAAAATATAAAGAAGAGTGAGGTTATGATGTTTCGAGTGGGTACTAAAATGTCTAATCTAATACAGTGCCTTTATGGCGTAGCACTCAAGAGAGTGTTCCAATTTAAGTACCTTGGCCACATAGTTAATGAAAATTTAAATGATGACGATGATATAGAGAGATAGCGAAAAGCGTTGTCGATCCGGTGCAACATGCTGGCCCGCAGGTTTGCACATTGTACGAGAGAAGTGAAAATTACTCTTTTAAAGGCCTTTTGCCAGTAATTTTACACGTGTAGACCTTGGGTTAGAAATAGGCAGCGGGCCTACAATGTTTTTTTTTTATAGGGTAAGGGTGACAAACGAGCTCACAGGCAACCTGATGGTAAATGGTTGCTGCGGCCCATAGACATCTACATTTAACCTCTATTACAAATCAAAATGCAGATGCGTTGTCACCCGTGAGGAGTAAGATGGAATGCCTCATTTCCAGTAAAAAGGGTCTCCGGTTCTCTACACTCACCATACGAAACACAGCAAAGTTAAGCTGCTATTTTACGCTGGTATTCTGTGAGAGCGTGGTCCTTCCCCGGTCGAGCCGACCCATTCGTGCTACAATTGTACTACTAATATAGCTGCAGCATGGCTCTACCACGTATAGTGAATGTTCTTCGTGTGCAATATAATAATGCATTTAGGGTGCTGTAGGGGCTTCAACGATTCTGTAAAGCGTCAGGCATGTTTAGTGAAGCAGTAACGGACAGCTTTCAAACTATTTTCCAAAAAAGAACAGCATCCCTAATGCGCAGGATGCAGGGGTAGCACTAACAGCACCCTGAGAGTTATTGTGGAGAATCCAGACAGCACGTTCCTGCAGTACACTGCTGCGGTTCTGGTGCAGTGGGAAATGGGCAAAGATATATGAATTAATTTAGTTATAATTAGTTAATGTTGTTACTAACATATTTGAGTTTATAAATTACTTACTAACCCATATGGATCATGGTCCGAAATAAATGATTATTATTATTATTAAGTTGACATTAAATTTTTTTTGTATTTTTTTGTTTTATAAACATCACCTACTCATGCAAAAAAAAAAACAGGTCAGAAAAATTTATGCGTGAATATTAAAACTAAAGTTATAGTCTATATACGTCCTACTGTTGGGCACAGGCCTCCTCTCACTTCTGAGACGGTTTTAAGGCAAGGAAGTGTTCGCCGTGCTGCCACAAAGCGTGTTGGCGGACTTCACATGCCTTCGAAATATTTTTTTTTATTCTCAACTTGCAATTTCCTTACGACGTTTTCCTTCACCGCCGATTCATAATTTAAAATTGCAATTTCCAATTTCATTGGTGCCGGCGGGGACCATCGAACCCGGGTTGCTCGAGTACTGCGAAATTTACAGCGAGCGCTAAGTCCCTGAGCTACCTCGGCTCAATTTATCAGTAATGATATATTAAATATATTCAGAAGAATGAAGAATAAAATTAAACAATCAAAGTGGTTCTGCGTTCCTATTGGTCTATACTCACTATCAGCTCAGTGCTTGACTGCAATTCCAGCTGGTGGTAAGTCTAAGCATAATATAAACCTATTCACTCTTGCCCTCCAGAAATCCACATTGTAATCGAACGGAAAGACAATCGGTGGCAAATAATTCCATTCCTCTGCAGTACGCATTACAAACTACGACGCAAACCGTTAAATTAGAATGTGTGGAACGTCGATAACTAAGGGTTGGAGACCCGTCGGGCGTTAGTAGAAAGGGGAGGGAGGAATTTAATCATGTTATTTTGCACACAATCCGGAATGTAGCCTATAGCATACCAAGAGGTTTGTTGTATATTATATACTTAGTTGTTATAGTTGGATTTTTTATGTTTGTTTTGTTTTATGTTTGGCGATGAATGAAATTAGAAATGGAGTGATATTACACTCTCGAGGTATGCGAGATAAAAAGAAAAAATATACAAAGGCGTACATATAACATCCTTAGAATCAAACTCTACGGACACATGAGTGAAGAAACCGTACCGTACAGAGGCAAAGCTTCATACAATCGCGCTATGATGATTACACTACAAGTTTGAGTCGCGTGTGTGCGTGAACACTGGCGGCTCGTCACTTACAGAGAGAAACTGCTTTAAACCGACTCGGGCAGTGCTCAAACTCAGGGTTATGTAAAGAATAATAAGTGTAAAATTTTATTTTAAAGAATTATTCGTGTCAAATGAAATATAAAAAAGTGTTAATTTGACTTACTCTACTGTTTGCATGAAAAATAACAGAACAAATAAAAATGTATATTTTTTTTAATTATCCCAAAGACACCATTATAGTAAAATTATTTTGGCCGTGCAGTTGGGGCCATACATCTTGCCCGCTAGGGTGGTGAGCATCTTACGCGGGTGCTACGCCATTATCGATAACAACAAATGAAACATCGAAGGCAGGTACACGGCGGCGGTGCGGTATACAAAGTGTGGTGCGACATTGTTATGTTATGAGTTATTTGTTATCCATTATTAACCCCGCCTAATACTTGCAAATTAGTGCAATAATAAGTTAGTACATAATTATATCGAAGAGAAATTTGTATTTGCGCATTCGCTCTCTGAATTTCTTTAGTGACACAATGGTTACTCCTTTGTTTTGTACCAAAACGGCAGAATTTATTCAAAATAATATTTTGCCTGTTGGCACCAATATACCAGCACAAGCACGTGTTGTTATCAACAATGTTTTAACATTTTTCATTGAAATGAAAATAGATCCCGAAAAGTTACAAAGTCTTAATTTCTGCCGTTCTTGTGAACTTGCTGCGGCGATATGTGGTGTGAGTATTAGAGCGGTCGGCAAATTTAAAAAAGAGTGTATAAAGTCTCCCTTTATACACTCTTTAGTTAGTTAGCTTTGACAAAAGTGTAATTAAAACAAATAGTGTCGTCGTTTTAGCGCGACGGTGAATATCCTTCCACGGCTATTTATTAGATAGAATTTATTTAGATAAGACTTGGGTGAACTAAAATCACAGCCGCAAACGAAGTTGGCTAGACAAGGATAGACAAGGCGGCTTAAACACAAGAACGGGAAAGGGCGGCAGACTAATTGATAAATATTCTTTCATCATTTATGTAAGAAATACGACTTAATAATTTCTTCTATCTATATTATATATTTTTCTATATCTATTTTTTTTTCATTGTAGGGGCTCATCGTAGAAGCGTGCTCGTCGCGACCCCTGCCAGCCCTTTTCAGGGCTGCAATTCTACTCAGCTGCGCACCCATGCCAACGAGGGTTAGGGCGTCCCCCCAAGGCGACGCACACCAGCTCGTCCCCGTTGGTGTGGAATGCAGCGCGCAAAGCGGCGATGGGGACCGCCACCCGTCATGCACAGCCCGACACGGCGGAAGGTGGAGGACAGAGTGCAGAGTTGGCACGTGGAATGTTAGAAGAGGCATGAGAGATAAGACGAATGAGTTGATCGAAGTAATGAAAGAAACAGAATTAGATGTCGTGTGTATGTCGGAGACCAAACGGAAGGGCAGTGGTACTGAAGAGCTCCCTGGCGGGGCGTTAGCTCTATGGTCCGGAGTCCCGGAGAGCGAGAATGCCTGCCAGGGAGTGGGGGTGCTGCTGTCTTCTCGGTTGGTCGATGTTATGACTGAATATAAGGTTGTGAACTCAAGACTTCTCTGGGTTCGCTATAAATTGGGACTCACGAAGTTATTCCTTTTGGTTGTTTATGCGCCGGTAGCTTCGTCGTCCAGGGCTGAGCTGGAGGAGTTTTGGGAGAATGTAAGAGAAGTTCTAGATATGGCTAGGGGAAACGAAAGAATTGTTGTATGTGGTGATTTGAA